CTTTGTTCTCCCCCACTTTGCCTATGGGGGTGTGTTAAACTGTATTATGCTTGTAGGCTGTAGTGGGGTAGCCAATATGGGGTACAACCCCAACTAGGGTTTCATATTTGTACCCAAACTTCTGTTAGTTCATTCATTCTTGCCTAGTGATTCTGACACTTTCCGTCGGTGTCGACTGCCAACTCGCGCAAGCAGACGGCGAACAGCTGCGCACCCCTGTTGAAGTGGTGGGCGATGGTGATGGCTTTGACGCACGGGGCTTGTATGTAGTCAGGTGTCCATGCAGGCAACTTAATTAGCCCCTCGTGCTTGCTGACGCAGCACGATCCCGTTGTCCAGTCGATGACGGGGTTGTGTCGTCGCAGCCAATCGCGTCCCAGCAGCACGTCGCAGCCATCCAGCGTCGTCGCGAGGAACTTCATGCTGAAGCCGAAATCTTCGCCGCACTCGATCCGCACCGTCCGTGTTTCTTCCGTTATCGCCAGAGGCGTCCCATCCACGAGTCGTGCGTCGATTTCGGGCAGACACCTGTCAAGTTGCATGTTGCATTTTTTTTGCGCTTGCCAAGTTGAAGAGGCTATGGCTGGCCCCTCCATCGACGAACATTTTCAAATGATGTTTCCCCACCTTGCCAGCGACCAGCACAGGGTGATCCACATGATTATCCCCGTTATTCGGCCGAGTGCGATCGATTGCATGAATCGGAACCACGACTCGGTGGGGATGGTGGTGTTCGGGCGACGGAGCACAGTCAGTAAAGGGCCCGCTACTTACTGACTCTTCCCATTTCCCTGCTCCTTCCTGTCGTTCTCTGTCAGCGGCATTTTCTCCTTGCATTCGTTCTTCCAGTGACCCACCTTCCCACACCGGAAACACTGACCCTTAGGAGGGCGGTCGGGTGTATGGACGGCGTTGATTGTGGCCCGATGGGTCTGGCCACGAAAACCTCTCCCATCCCTGGAAGCCGTTCTCGCGTACTGCATCAGCGCATCCGTTGACTCTGCCACGCGTACTGCTTCGAGGAACGATGTCGGGCGGCTGCGGCGAACTTCGAACTGTATCTCGTACTTAAGGCCGCTCACGTATTTATCCAACCGCTCAGCTTCCGACATGTCATCGATTTGGTCGGCGAAGCTTATAAATGACGCCGTGTAGTCTTGGACAGATCCCATCTGCGACCATGCACGCAGCTTCATGCGAGCTTGCTCCGAGGCGGATACGTGCTCGAAGCGATCCCGTAAGGCTGCGCCCCACTCCTTCCATGTGCGTATCTTGGTCACACCGAAGATCGGTTCTGCAACTTGATTAACCACTGTAGAGGTCCCGTCTGCCGCATGTGTCACACCTGTCGACGTCCCTGTTTCCAAGGTCCGGCGCCACCATTCAAGTGCTGCACCTCGAAGAAGCGAGACTGCGTAATTAATGCGCGTGGCATCGTCATTAACTCCGGCTGCAGTGAAGAAGACTTCAACCCCGAACAGCCACCCCTTCACTGTAGTCGTCTTGTCCGTAGGATTAAACGGGGGCGGGTTGACGGGCTTGATCTTGATCGTCGTAACTGCAACTGGCGCTGCCGCCGCTCGCTGCCTATCTTCTTCTTCGAAGTCGCGTGTGAGCTCGTCCAGAGGATTGCCCATCACTTGACTGTTGCCCTCGCCTTCGTCCACAGGCGACGTCTGACGCGCTTCACCTCGCGTCCGGCGTAGCTCGGCGTTTTCCTCCTTCAGTGTTGTCACTTCCGCTTGCAGCGATTCCATGCCCCTCGCCATTTCTGCCACTTGCGCCATCAGTCGGTTAACAGCCTCCTGATCCATGTTTCTAGCACTACGTCTGGTGGGCAGTTGGGTACCCGTGGCCGCCCGGCAAGTGAAAACACGAACTATCGGAGTCGGGCAGGGTTGAGTTAACAACCTCTGCAGCCAACCGTCGTGTAGTCACTAAACCAACCACACCCTATGCCACCAAACTACCCTCGAAAAGCGGGGTGAACTAGGAAAGTAGCTCTGATACCAGGTGTTATGAGTTGTAAAAGAGAGTGCGCAGGTAAACGAATAACGAGACTGTGACTGAATGAATCTGAGAATACAATGAATGCGAGAACTGATGTAGGTTAGCCTAGCTAGGAGGAAACCTCGGGCGAGCGAGGTTGGGTGCAGGTTTGGCGATGGAAATGCCGAAGGCGACGCGAGGAGCTTCGGCAGCGTGGAAATCGCCCGAACGTGCGAACTCCGAAAATCGGGTTGTACGCGCAGCAGTCAACCCCGATAAGGAATTCGAGAAAATTCCTTACAGCTGAACTTTTACTACATCTAATTATATTCTTTTATGTATGTCATTATATAACACCCATGGGTGCAAGCTTACATCCCCCCCCAAAATTGAACACCCCCCTAAAGGGGGGTATTTATCAGTACACCCTAGGGTGTACTATGCGGGGGATTACGGTAGTAAACTTGCTGCATGTTCTACCAGAACTTCATCAAACTGCTGCATGTACTACCAAAAGGATGGTCTGGGGGGCTTGACCGTCAAGGGACCTGTGTAGACCAGTTCAACCTAATACCTATACCGTACCTATGTGATGGTAACGTGAAGGAGTGGGATGAACCTAATACCTATGCATCCAGCCCTCCAATATTTGAATACTGGCGGCTAGTAGACGACATGTTGGCACAAAACGGATGCTTGTACGTGCGTGCGTGCGTGGGTGCGTGCGTATGTGTGTGTGTGTGTGTGTGTGTATGTGTGTGTGTGTGTGTGTGTGCATGCACGCGCGCGCGTATAAACGTCTATCCCTCTTGTCAACATACATGTACCGGTAGATGCATGCAACAGGCAAAAACTTTGAACTTGAGATTAGCAAGATTTAAAATAGGAAAGGTAGAAGTAAAAGGCATAAAATTTAGTCTGGAAACAATTCCTAATGTTTCTTCAAGCCCATAAATCACAAACCAGAGTAACATCAGGATTGTATTACATTTTTTCCCTGTTTTTGGTACTTAGCATAGACACATACACTGCCATAAACACTAGCTTTTCATTCATGAACTTGTGCTGCATCACTGCCACATGGCGTCAAAGGAAAGGACCCACGTCAGGTTCTCTCTTGCCACGTTGACCTGGAGCTAATTCTGCCTGAGCACCTTCTCTCATTGGCCCACTCGACAACTCTTGTCGCTCCGCAACCGAACCTCGATTCAAACTTGTGTCAGCGCCGAAGTGAAAACACTCCGTCTCGTGTTCTGTCAGGGCACACCGAGCCCGCCCTTTTCGGTTTTGTTGGATTTGACACGCGGCAGCAGAAATAGACCGTTGATGTCGGTCATGTTTAGGTGTCAGATAGGACACCATCAGCCTTCACGCGCATTCTAGAGCAGTGAAGAACTTCGATGAGGCCGAACTTCGGGTCGAATCGCTTGCACTTCGGTTCGGAGGGCTCTCGATTTGCCTGTCCAAATCGTGGATCTTCTGCTTCGGGTGTCGACTTCGAGACACTCTCAAATCTGACACGAAGCAGGTTCCGTCTTAAGAAGGGGGTCTTTCACACTACCCAACTGAATTCGTGATAGATCCGCTCCGCCCCGTTCCGCACCAATGGCAACGGAGGGATTTGTTTCTTGAGAGTCGAGTTCGTCGCCAAAAGTTCACAGCCTGCATCCTGCAGTGAACTGCACCATCCACTGATCCAATCCCTATCCGTGCTTCACCTCCCCTCCCCCTCCCCTCCCATCCACCTTCACTGGTTCGCCTAGGCTAGACTAGTGGAGCAACAAACCCTAGTTCACCCAAACAGACGCAGCTGGACACGACAGTTAACTGCAAACAGGTCTAGTCTCCTCCAAACAGGCCGCTCTTAGGAACGGCGTTAGGCGAAGAGCGGAGGTGTGGACGAGTGGAGCGCCTGCACTGATCAGCTTCGAGTTGCACATTCTGGCAGGCCTTTTCGAGATCTTTAGATAGTTATTCCACGCGATGTCCTTGGCCGTTTCCTTAGCCCACGCAGGCGCCGTGCCAGCATGCCTGCAGAGGAAGGGCGTGTCTCTGATCGCCAGTGAGCGGAGCCAACCTAATTCCGTCAAGTTCAGTCCGACTTCCTCCGTTTACAGTGTCTCTAGTAGTCTTGCAAAGGCTACCGCCGTCAGACGACTAGGCGTTGCACAGCAATGGTAATGCGTCAGTTGCGACTGGAATTTCGTCGTAGATGAATCCAGATTCGGGTTTTTTTATTAACCATTAGGAGTTTTCGTTTCAAAAGAATGACTGACGTTTGAGGTCCGTTTCACACCGCGAAAGCATACTTCTCGTTAAGTCGCCCTTTCCTTTATCCACCTCCTTCTTTGCTACAGCCTCTCCTCTTAGTACGTTCTCTCAAGACTTACTCTCGAAATTCGATCACCCTTTTCGCCCGTCTATTTGTTCGTTTTCTATTGATTACATACGTTTTTGTTCCTTTTTTTCTCGACTCGAATCTCTTCGTGAGCAGGCAAGGCAAGGCCAGGCATTCCTTGCGGACGAGGCCCACCCGTGCAACTCGTCCCTCAACAGGCGTCACGCACTCCACGCTTTCTCACGCCCCTGCCGGGTGCCGCTGCTGCAGCAGCAGCACCAGGCTAACCTCCTCGTTCTCGTCCTCTTCCGCCCTTCAATATAGTCACCTCGAACAAAGAACTCGTGCGCAGCAACAGCATCAGCGGCAGCAGCGCGAAGCTGTAGCCTCTTCCGAATTTCTCGGCCGCACCTTGCGCACTCCCGTCGCGCGCTCGCTTCCCCGCGCCGCTCCGCCTTCCGCCGGCTCTCGCGCCGATTTGCCGCGCAGTCCTGATGGACCATCCGCAGCCGGCGCGCGGTTCTCCCGCCGCTGCCGCCTGGCCGTGTCGCCGCGGTCGCAGTCGCAGGCGTCGCAGGGTCCCACCGAGCCGCAAGCCGCGCCGACCGCGTCGCCGCCGATCCCGGCGGATATTCTGCCGGCGCTGGGGAACCTCGTGGAGATTATAGGGCGAATGAAGGAGGAGGAGGAGGGGAAGAAGGGGCAGTACCTAGGTGACGACGCCGGCGAGGAGGGGGAAATGGGGGAAGCGGCGGACGGGGAGGCGGAGGCGGAGCGGATGACGATGTCGGACGCGGAGCGCGCGGAGGTGGAGGCGCTGCTGAACGAGCGGCTGCCGAGCCACCCGAAGGTGCACCGCGGCATGCTCGATAACGGGCTGCGATACGTCATCCTGCCCAACAAGCTGCCGCCCAACAGGTGGGTGGTTCGGACAAGCTGCCGCCCAACAGGTGGGTGGTTCGGACAAGCTGCCGCCCCACAGGTGGGTGGTTCGGACAAGCTGCCGCCCAACAGGTGGGTGGTTCGGACAAGCTGCCGCCCAACAGGTGGGTGGTTCGGACAAGCTGCCGCCCAACAGGTGGGTGGTTCGGACAAGCTGCCGCCCCACAGGTGGGTGGTTCGGACAAGCTGCCGCCCAACAGGTGGGTGGTTCGGACAAGCTGCCGCCCAACAGGTGGGTGGTTCGGACAAGCTGCCGCCCAACAGGTGCGGGGTTGCGACGGTGGACGAGCGGGGGAACGCGCATGAACTGGCCCAAGGCCCGCAAGGTCCGTTCAACCCGTACCTCATTCCCGTCCCGTTTCCGTCATGCTACACACCAGGTTCGAGGCGCACCTAGAGATGCACGTGGGGTCGGTGGACGAGAGGGAGGACGAGCAGGGCCGGGCGAACCTCATCGAGCACGTCACCTTCCTGTTCCTCATTCCTTCCCCACCTTCCCTCATTCCCGCCGCCACCCAGGTTCGAAGCTCACTTGGAGATGCACGTGGGGTCGGTGGACGAGAGGGAGGACGAGCAGGGCCTGGCGCATTTGATCGAGCACGTCACCTTCCCTCCCAACCCATGATCCTTCACCCCTTTCCCCCATTCCCGTTCCGCTGTCCCCCCTTCCTCATTCCCTTTGGTCAACCAGGTTCGAGGCGCATCTAGAGATGCATGTGGGATCAGTCGACGAGGGGGAGGACGAGCAGGGTCTGGCGCATCTGATCGAGCACGTCACGTTCCTGGGGTCGCGCAAGAGGGAGAAGCTGCTGGGCACGGGCGCGCGCTCCAACGCCTACACCGACTTCCACCACACCGTCTTCCACGTGCACGCGCCCGTTACTATGCAGGTGGGTTGGGTGCGGTGGAGCTGGTTGCAGTGGGTTGCGTGTGCGGTGGGGTGCGGTGCCTAGGGTGTAACGAAGAGGGGGGAGTTTCTTGGCACGGGCGCGCGCTCCAATGCCTACACCGACTTCCACGTGCACACGCCCGTCACCATGCAGGTGGGTGGAGCGGGGAGGTGTGGTGGGGTTGCGATGAAGTGCGGTGGGGTGTGGGGTGCAGTGGGGTGCGGGGAGATGGTTTGCGTGGGGTTGCAGCGAAGTGCGGTGGATAACAAATCCTTATGCACTCGATGCAGCACGAGATTGTGCAAAATATCCTTATGCACCACTCGCCTGCCCCATCCCGGCCGCCACCCCTTCACCCCTCGTTTCCTCTCCACAGGGCTCGCAGGAGCTGATGCTGCCGATGGTACTGGCATTGCTGCACGAGGTCCCCGTATATTCTCCCTTGTGCCCCCAATTTCAATGCTACACCCCCTCCCCTCGTCTCCTCTCCCCAAAGCTTGCAGGAGCCAATGCTGCCCATGGTGCTGGCAACGCTGCCCGAGATCGCGTCTGGAATCCTCTCACTCCGTGCACACTTCCTTGCCACACTTGTTCCCCGTTTTCCTCCCCTCCGCTTCCCCCCTCCCCTCCCGCTCTCCCTCCTCCTCTCCCCAGGGCTCCCAGGAGCCAATGCTGCCGATGGTGCTGGCAGCGCTGCACGAGATTGCGTTCGCGCCCAAGTTCCTGCCATCGCGCATTGACAAGGAGAGACGTGCCGTGCTGTCGGAGATGCAGATGATGAACACCATTGAGTACCGCGTTGACTGCCAGGTACTGTGTTGACTTGATTGATCCAACAAGAATGAACAAGCAAGATGATGAACACAAGTAAGTACCGCGTTGACTGCCAGGTGCGTGCTGCTGCGTTGACTGCCAGGCACTGCCAGATAGGTGCATTGTCAATCCAGTATTGGCGCCAGCCTGCCAGCTCGTTGCCTGCCAAATTACGAGCCGTGAAGTCCAGCCGTTGCCTGCCAGAGAGTGGCCTCAGCATTTTCTGATTGGCTTGACTCTCTGCATGCGTCTTCACCTCCTTCTCCTCCCTCCGTCCCTCCCTCCTAACCCCCTACTTTCCGTCCCATCTGCTTTCTCCCCCCCACTTCCCTCCCCGTCTCCGTCACCCCATCCAACCCATGCTCACCTTTCACAGCTGTTACACCACATGCACTCGGAGAACCTGCTGAGCTGTCGCTTCCCGATAGGCCAGGAGGAGCAGGTGAAGAAGTGGTCGGTGGATCAGATCCGCGCCTTCCACGACCGCTGGTACTTCCCCGCCAACGCCACGCTCTACGTCGTGGGGGACCTCGCTTCCGTTTCCGACATCATCCGGCTTATTGAGGTGAATGAATGGCTTTGTGAGAGAACAGCTCGGTTTTGAGGTGTTTCACTTGTGTATTCACATCGCCGCCTTTCACGACCGCTGGTGCTTCCCCACCAACGCCACGCTCTACGTCGTGGGGGACTTGGCTTCTGTGTCGGACATCATCCGGCTTATTGAGGTGAGAGAATGGTGGGGTTCTGAGGTAGGCTGGCTGGGTTTGAGGTACATCACTGGGCGCTTCACACAGCCTTCCACCACCGCTGGTACTTCCGTACGAACGCCACGCTCTGAGACAGACATCATCCGCCTAATTGAGGTGAGCTGGTTGGGTTTGAGGTAGTTCACTGGGTGAATTACAGGGAAGGGGAAGGAGTGCGATGCGACTCACAGCCTTCCGCCGGTACTTCCCTGCCAGCGCCGCGCTCTACGTCCGTGTCAGATGTTATTGGACTCTTTGACGTGAGGTGGGTGTGTGAGTGAAGCTGTGTAGGTTTATGGGAGAGGAGGTGCGAGTGTGAGTGGAGCTGACTCAATCATGAGTGGGCGGTTGAGTGGGCGGTGGGAGTGTGCGTGTGGGTAGGTTTATTGATCTTGATGGTGGTTCGTGCACCCATCCATGCACATCTGCAAAGGCTGGCCGTTGATCTTCCCACTCATTCTCTCCTCTTCCCCCTACCCCCTCCCCTCCCCGCATCTCCCTGCCTTCAGGAGCATTTTGGTCGCACCCCCCCAGGCATGCACATGCCTCCTCCTCCCAGCCCCACACCCACCATTCCCGCCCACTCCCCCTCCGTCCATTCCCCCACTCTCCCCCCCTCCATCTCACACCACCACTCTTCCGCGCCCTCTCTCACTCCCGCCTCCGCCTCTTCCGCCCCGAGCCTCACTCCCCCCATGCACCCTGCCACCTCCCCCACCATGCCCGCCGTCCCCCCCAGCTCCGCGCTCTCCGCCCTGCACCCCCATTCCGCCGAGTCCCCCTCCCCCTCCGCCTCCCCCGCGCCCATCCCCGGGCCTGTGCGCAAGGAGAGGCATGCAGTGCGCCCGCCTGTGCGCCACACGTGGGCGAGAGACCATCTAGAAGGGGAGAGCGCGGAGGGGAGTGCGGGGGAAGGGGCGGAGGTAGGGGGGAGGCCAGGGGGAGAGGGGTTTTTGCCCCCCGCAGTAGTGCCGTCTGCAGCAGCGGCGCAGCAGGCAGCAGCGGTGGGGGAGGGGGTGGTGATGCCTGTGATCTTTCAACACGAGCTGCTGCAGAACTTCTCCCTTACCATGTTCTGTAAGGTAAGGGCGTGTGATGCGTGCACTGGGGGAAGTTGGTGGTTTAGAACTATCAAGAGCCTGCTGCGTGCTACTAGCAGCAGGCAGCGGCGGGGGAGGGAGTAGTGCTCGTGATCTTTCAGCACTTCCTGCTGCAGAACGTCTCGCTCACCATGTTCTGTAAGGTGCGCGCGGTGCAATGCGGACACTGGGAGTAGTTGGTGGCGTTTTAGAATTGATCAGAACGAACTAGCAGCAGGCAGCAGGGGCGGGGGAGGGGGGTGGTTATGTGGAAGCCCGTGATCTTCCAGCACTTCCTGCTGCAGAACGTCTCCCTCACCATGTTCTGTAAGGTGCGGGGCGGTGTTGAAGCATGGGTTCCCCAGGTGCTTGTATGGCCATGTCGCCCTGCGTTTAGCTCTTGCCCACACCCTCCCGGCTCCACTCCCTGCACAACCCCCCGCACACCTCACCAGAACCCAGTGAAGCAGGTGCAGACGCTGGGCGACCTGCGGCGGGCTGTGATGCAGCGCATCGTGCTCAACGCCCTGCAGTTCCGCATCAACAACCGCTACAAGGTGAGCAATCAGTGGCAATCGGTGCAAGGTGAGGGTGAGCTAGTAGCAAGGGCCACAAGGTGAGCCATGAGCAACTGGTACAACGACAAGGTGGGCAATGCACAGCGCATCGTGCTCAATGCGCTGCAGTTCCGCATCAACAACCGCTACAAGGTGAGGCGGCAGCGACTGGGACAAGGTGAGGCGGCAGCGACTGGGACAAGGTGAGGCGGCAGCGACTGGGACAAGGTGAGGGTGAGCTAGCAGCAAGGGCCGCACGGTGAGCCATGAGCAGCCAGTACAACAACAAGGTGGGCTGTGATGCAGCGCATCGTGCTCAACGCGCTGCAGTTCCGCATCAACAACGTCTACAAGGTGAGCAATCAGTTCAGTTGCAGCTTCAACTGTTAGTGACTGCTGCCTGCGCAGCGCATCATTCGCCGTCACCCCGCTCACCCTCTGCATCTCTCCCTGCATTCCTGTGAGTCTCTCCAACCGTTACCCACGCCTCTCCTCCCCTTAACCTCAGAACGGCACCGTCCCCTTCCTAGGGGTGGATCTAGATCACAGTGACAGCGCCAGGGAGGGGTGCATGGTCACAACGCTCACAGTCACAGCAGAGCCCACCGACTGGCAGTCCGCACTCACAGTGGGGGTGCCAGTCACTGTCGCTCCGCACTCACCCTCTATCTCTCCCTGCATTCTTGTGTGTGTTTCTCTTTACTTGTTTGCCTCTCTCTTCATGTGTGACTCCCTCCTGCCTTCTTTCAGAACGGCACTGTCCCATTTCTAGGGGTAGACCTGGATCACAGCGACAGCGCGCGAGAGGGGTGCACGGTCACGACGCTCACAGTCACAGCGGAGCCCACCGACTGGCAGTCCGCACTCACAGTGGCCCTGCAGGAGGTGCGGCGCCTGCAGCAGTTCGGCCTCACACGAGGGGAACTCGCCCGCTACGTCACCACCATGCTGCGAGACTCGGAGCACAACGCCGCCATGACGGACGCCATCCACTCCATCGACTCGTTAGATTTCCTCATGGAGAGCTTTGCGCTGGGCCATGCGGTGCTGGACCCCGAGCAGAGCTTTGAGTGCCTGTCGGCGATCGCGCCGACGATAGAGCTGGAGGATGTGAATGCGGCGGCGGCGGAGGTGCTGGAGTTTGTGGCGGAGTATGGGAAGAAGGAGGCGCCGCGGCCGGCGGCGATTGTGGTGTGCGTGCCCACGCGGATGCACGTGCAGGGGGGGGAGGGTGGGAGAGAGAAGGGCGAAGAGAGGAGCGGGAGTGGGAGCGGGAGTGCGAGTGGGAACAGTAGTGGGAATGGGGCAATGGTGCAGAGCTCTTCGTCTGCAGCTGTGGGGGCGGGGGCGGGTGTGGGGGCGGGGGCGGGAGCAGCGAGTGATGTGGTGTTTGAGGTGACCCCCGAGGCGGTGAGGGATGCTCTGCTGACAGGGCTCAGGGAGGACGTGCAGCCTGAGGACGAGGTGAGCGGTGCAGTGCGGTGGTGAGCGGTGTTGGGTGGGAGGAGGGTGGTGAGGGAGGGTCGAGGTAGGTCGTACAAGTTGCGTGTGGGTGGTAGGAATGCTTTGAACAGCCAGCAGGGTGTGTGTCAGGGATATGAGTGTAGGGGATGTGAGTGTAGGGGATGTGAGTGTAGGGGATGTGAGTGTCACTTCGAAGAGGTGAAGGAGTGCCTGCTTGCTCAAGGTGAAAGATTCTGAGCTGCTGCTGACGTGGATGCAAGCGTCCTCTCTCTTCCCTGCTCTTGCTCCCATGCCAGGTGGAGGTCCCCCGCACACTCATTTCCGATGCTAAGCTGATGACATTGGATGCAAGCGTGCTCTGTCTTCCCTGTTCTTTCTTTCCTCGTGCCATGCTCCGTCCTTGTGCTCCCTTGCCATGCCACCATGCCAGGTGGAGGTCCCCCGCACGCTCATCTCCGATGCTGAGCTGGCAGAGTTGCAGCAGAAGATCCGGCCTCGGTTCGTACCGTTCCCGCCCACCGAGGGCAACGCTGCTGACGTGGCGCCGTCTGAGTGGCGCGTGCGGCAGTACAACAAGGAGACGGGCATCATCCAGCGCCGCCTCAGCAACGGCATCCGCGTCAACATGAAGGTGGGGAGCGGTGGTGTGCGTTAGACATGGGTTGCACTGGACATGCAAGGTGAGGAGTGGTGGGGTGCGGTAAACATGAAGGTGGGGCGCAAAGGGGTGCGTTTGCCTGCTTGAGTACCCCTCTCCTTTTCCTTGTCTCCCACCCGCAAGCAACTCAAGATGGTGCCTGCATTGCCTTCGCTATGGCACTACCTTTACCCCCACCTCTGGATACGCCTGCTTGTTCCTTTGAAACCCATTCCACCCCACACCACTTCATTGCACCGATTTCTACTGCACGCCACGCCACACCACCACAACCGTCCCAACCCCACGCTGCCCCATCCCACCACACTGCAAGCAGGTGACGGACAACGAGGCAAAGGGAGGGGTGCTGCGGTTGGTCTTCCCAGGAGGCCGAGCCAAGGAGGACCCGCAGGGCGCAGGCGAGGTGGCGGTGGGTGTGCGCACGCTGAGTGAGGCGGGGCGCGTGGGGGAGTACAGTCGCGAGCAGGTGGAGCTGTTCTGCCTCGCGAATCTCGTCAACTGCATGCTGGAGGCCGACGAGGAGTGTGTCGCGCTCGACCTGCACTTCGCCACGCGCTACGGCGGCCTTAAAGCCTCGTTTCAGCTGCTGCACATGCTGCTGCAGGTGGGTCAATGGCTGTGGGGGTAGTTGAAGTGGTTGGTGGTACATGCTACGGCGGCCTTAAAGCCTCCTTCCAGCTGCTGCACATGCTGCTGCAGGTGGGGTGATGGGGGTGGGGGTGATGGGGATGGGGGTGGTTGGGGTGGGGTGATGATGGTGGTGGTACATGCTATGGCGGCGTTAAAGCCTCCTTCCAGCTGCTGCACGTGCTGCTGCACTGCAGGTGGGTCAGTGGCTGTGGGGGTAGTTGGGGTGGTTGGTGGCACGCGTTATGGCGGCCTCAAGGCCTCCGTACAGCACCTGCAGCACATGCTGATGCAGGTGGGAAGGTGGTCGTGGTCACGATGGGGGCTGATGGCATGCTGCTGTGGGGTGCGATGTGGGGTGATGGCGAGGGTGGGATGGGATGTGGTGTGGTTATGTTGTGAGTGCGATGGGGCAGGTATGGCAGTGCGCCACTAACGGGAGCACTGACACTCTAGTTAAATGCAGTACCGCTTCCTTTTCATGCACATGTGAGCTGTTGTCACTCAAACGCCATTGCATATTCTCACAGAGTGAGTGAATCACATCATCCTCACTCAAAGTGATGTTTTCTTTTTTCTTTCCCGCATTACGTAGTTGTAAACGTGTTCTTTTCCTCGCCCTTTTTCTCTCTTGCTCTCTCGCCCTTCCCCTCTCTTGCTTCGTTCTTTTCTTCTCTTGCTCTCTTGTTCTTTCCTGTGCCAGATTCAGTCAATATTTGTTTCCACTTGGCATGTCCTGTCTGTCCTGCCACTCCCCATGCCCAATGCAGCATCCAGCATGGGACGAGGATGCGCTGGAGAGGGCAAAGCAGGCATACCTCTCCTTCTACAGGTGCGTGACGTGCATTTCATGAAGGTACACACTCGGGCTGCTTAGCTGCTTAGGCCTGCCTTACCTCCATTCCATCAACTCAGTAGTTGTGCGCGTGGCCTGCTGAGGTTGGACACAATGGTCGTACACACATGCACGTGGCGCGCATTCCACTCTTCTACATCGCCTGAGGTGTGGTATCGAGCCATGTCATGCCAAGACTCGCCCTTTTGGCTCATACGCCCATCCCTTTGGCTCGTCGCTCCTTTCGACTCTTGAAGGGTTTGTTATCTGCTCACCGCGTCGCACCGCCCTCAACAGGAGCCTTTGCTTGGCGCCCTATGAACTGTTCTCTCTTTACATTCGTTCTTGACAGGTCTCTCTGATCATCACACGCCGTGTTGGAAGGGGACAGCCCTCCGCCCAAGAAGGTCCCATTTCCTCTCTCATCCGTTGTTATCCATTCCCCCTCCTCCCTTCACCCCAGGTCTCTCCCCAAGAGCTTGGAGCGGCTGACAGCGAGCAAGCTGATGGGAGCCATGTTTGATGGGGACACACACCTGCTGGACCTGCCTCCCCTCTCAGCCAATTCATTCCCCTTTTCCCTCCATGCTGACCCCCACCACTCCTGACAGGTCCCTGCCTAAAAGCTTGGAGCGGCTGACAGCGAGCAAGCTGATGGGCGCCATGTTCGACGGGGACACACGCCTGCTGGACCCTCACCCTCTCTCATCCTTGTCATTCCCCTTGCCGTTCTCTTCCCCCCTGCATTTTGCTGCGTGCACTGGCAGGTCTCTCCCCAAGAGTCTGGAGCGGCTGACAGCAAGCAAGCTGATGGGCGCCATGTTCGATGGAGACACACGGCTGCTGGACCCTCATCCCGCCATTGTGTCCAACCTCACTCTTGACACCGTGCGCCATGCTGTCATGCAGCAACTGCTGTCGGGGAACATTGAGGTGCGTTGGGTGGAGGGGAAGATGAGGTGTGTATGCTTGCACAAGGTGCCGCATTACAGCCCTCTTGTGCCATTGTGTCCAATTTCACTTTGCAGACCAGTAAGTATTCTTGTGTCATCCAATTTTGCCCCCCTCCCCTTTCCATCACTCGTGCATGCACAGTTGAGCATAGTGGGCGATTTCAGCGAGGAGGAGATGACAGACTGCATTCTCAAGTACCTCGGCACCGTCACCGCGCTCCCTCCCCGCCATTGCTGTCACCCCTTCACCACCACCTCTGACCCGTGCACACACTCACTCACTTCCCCGTGCTTCTCTGCCTGTGCCCACCCTTGTTCCTTCACAGCTGAGCATAGTGGGCGATTTCAGCGAGGAGGAGATGACAGACTACATTCTGAAGTACTCACATGCTCTTTCCTCCTCCTTCCCTGCCTTGCGTTCTTGCGTTCGTCCGTTGTGGTTGTGCATGGGCAGCTGAGCATAGTGGGTGATTTCAGCGAGGAGGAGATGACAGACTACATTCTCAAGTACCTCGGCACCGTCACCGCGCTCCCTCCCCCCGCCGACGTCGTCTCGCCCTTCGCCCTCCTCCCCCCCAACCCCGCCTCCGCACCCCCGCCCCCCTCCACCACCGTGCTGCCCCCGCTGCACCCGCCCCCCGTGCTCGCCCTGCCCGGAGAGCCGCCCTTCAAGATGGTCACCTCTTGCCCGCCTGCCCTGCGGCACCAGAAGGTGAGATTGTTGGGAACACAATGGCATGGAAGGTAGGGCAGAAGAGGTATGCTCTGTGTTACCCCCGCTGCACCCCCCTCCCGTGCTCGCCCTGCCTGGAGAGCCGCCCTTCTGCCTCCTGCCTGCCCGCCCGCCCTGCGCCACCAGAAGGTACGCGTCTCTCATCTCGTGTGGGACCACAAGGTAAGCCACCGTGCTGCCCCCACTGTGCTCGCCCTCCCCGGCGAGCCGCCCTTCAAGATGGTCTCGACCTGCCTGCCCGCTCTGCGGCACCAGAAGGTGAGATTTTTGGGAACACGATGGCAGGGAAGGTAGGGCAGAAGAGGTATGCTCTGTGTTACCCCCGCTGCACCCGGCCCCCATGCTCTCCCTACTCGGAGAGCCGCCCTTCAAGATGGTCGCCTCCTGCCTGCCCGCCCGCCCTGTGCCACCAGAAGGTCGAGGGTGGGGGCATTTGGGCATGAGAAGGTTGAACAAAGGTGTGTTTGAAGGGCCGGCTGTGGGTTTCCATCAGTTGTTGGACAGGCTGGTTCCACGTCCTAGCCCCCGCTAACACCTCTCTAACACCTCCCCCTCAACCCCCCCCGCCTTCTCCTTCCTCGCCCTCCCCTCCTTCACCCTCTCTTGTCCAGGTTCTCTTGCGGGACACAGATGAGAGAGCCCGAGCCTACATCGCAGGTCCGGCACCGAACCGGTGGGGATTCGCACCGGATGGGCGGGATATCAACACGATTTTGGAGCCCATTCCGCCTGGTTACACAGGTACGGCACATAGGCACAAATTAGTGCCGTGCGTGGTTAGCTGCCTGAGTGGTTCTGCATGTGTTGAGCGTATGGTGCACTCTCAAGTTGAATTGAAGCCCATGCTGCCTTTTTGGCTACTCAGGTACAGCCAGCCCTCCCATGCAGATTCCTGTGGTGCTGCAAAAGGCTACACAGGTATAACCCCCGGTATGCAGAACTGACTGAATGGCCTTTGCATTAGAATATGGTGGCCTCAAAACCCTGAACCCACAAACCTGCAATTGAACCTGTAAAGCCGAAAGCCATAGAGTATGTAACCCTAACTTGTGGCATTGTGGTTGCGCACATGTGCCGGGACAAGGCATAGTATACATGTGTTTCTCAATCTGTGGGACATGGTGAGTTAATACGTTGAAGCAATTGACATTCATGTCATTCACCTAGACTCGTATCTAACCACCAGTATTAACACCACCACCATCACCACCATCATCACCACCACCACCAGCATCACGAGCAGCAGCAATGGCAGATGAAGGGCCGCTACTGGCGAGAGCAATGCGACATCTGTTCACCATGGGACGAGGCAACACGCACAGCCAAAACGGCAGAGGAGCGGGAGCAGCGGGAGGAGGTGGGAGGGGCGAGGGCAGCCTTTTAGGAGACTCTGGTAAGTCCAGTCTCAGGGCTCCCTCGCTCCTCCCTCTCCCCACGCTCGCTCCTCCCTTTCTTCACTGTCTCTCCTCCCTCTCCCACCCTCACAACACCCAATAGCACTAGCCAGTTTCCTTCTTTGCATTTTCATCAAGTTTCATTGCTTTTCCAGTTTGAGACGTCTCGGAAACAGCCGGCGGATGGGCGCAAGTACCTTGTGAGTCGAGTCTATAGCTCACCCTGTCCATGCGTGTCTTTCGCTTGTGCCTCCGTGTGTGTGAGCAGACGCACAGGCGGTGGCGGTGGCACCGTTGGGAACAGCAGTGGTGGAGGGGGCAGACGGGCATAAGTACTGGCACCGGCGCCGGCACCCGCTGTACACGTCGGTGGGCGTGCTGCTGCTGCAGGAGATTGTCAACGCACGGTGCGTGGGGGGAAAGGTTTGGGTGGGAATGGGGGGTGTGGACTTGTGGGTGTGGTTGGTGGGCCAGCATCCAGTGGGAGATCTCACAGGCACTGCCACCACCCTGCCTCCCACTGTACACGTCTGGGCATGGTTGTGTGGGTGCGGGGTGGGGGTGTGGCTGTCAATGCAAGTACTGGCACCGGCGTCGCCACCCGCTGTACACGTCTGTGGGCGTGCTGCTGCTGCAGGAGATCGTCAATGCTCGGTGCGTTCTGGGGTTGTGGGAGTGTGGGGGTGGAGGGGTTATCAGCAAATGGTGGGGGAGGGGCGGGGGGGAGGGGCCAATGTCAATGCACGGGTGGTTGTGTGTGGGCCTGAACAATGACCTAACATAGACTTGAAGATAATGAATTCTCCTACTGTTTTCGGTTTCTTGCCCTCTGCTGCCGCTTCCCCCCTCCCATCATTCGTCTCTCGACGCCAACAGCCGCTTCAATACCGTTCAAGACGCCCTAGGGCTGACGTACGATGTCAACTTTGAGTTATCGCTGTTTGACCGCCTGGCCACTGACTGGTTCTGCATCAGCGTCACCTCCACACCCGCCAAGATCCCTCCCTCCTTATCCCCGCTTCCTCTCCCCTCAACTGTAATCCCTTTCTTCTTCCCATTCCCTTCTCCCTCCCCTCCTTGTCCCCCCTTCCTCCCCCCTCCGCTCCCCCTCCCCTCCAACAGCCTCTTTACAACAGTGCGAGACGCCCTAGGGCTGACATACGACGTCAACTTTGAGATCTCGCTGTTTGACCGTCTGGCCACGGGGTGGTTCTGCATCAGCGTCACCTCCACACCCGCCAAGATCCACCAGGCCGTGGAAGCTTCCCTGAACGTTCTCAGGGGGCTGCAGGCGAACCGCATCACACAGAGGGAGCTGGACCGGGTGCGTTGAGCGGGGCTTTAGGGTGGGTGGGTGGGTGGGTGGGTTGGGATGGGATGGGAATTGAGCGCGCGTGTGCGTGGGGCGTTCATGCTGCAGGCGAACTGCATCACACAGAGGGAGCTGGACCGGGTGCGTTGAGTGGCGCGTGTGCGTGGGTGGGTGGGTGGGGCGTTGAGAGGCGTGCATTCTCTTGGTTGAGGGGGGGGAGGGGGGAGGGGCAATTAAGCAACGTATGTATGGGTGCGTGGGACGTTAGCAGGCGCTCTTGTTTGTTCGGGGCAGTCGGCAGTTTGAGATGTGGTTTGGCCTTACATGCGATGCTGATGTGTGCATGGCATGAGTCGGACTCCAAATGATATATCTCTGGGGATGGTTACAAGCCTGCAGTGCCAATCTCTCCTTCTGCCACTCCCACCTCTCCACTCCTCTTTTCACCCCCTTCCCCCCGCCGTAACAGGACAAGCACACGCTCATCTTGCGGCACGAATCCGACCTGAAAGACGACGCGTACTCTCTGACCATGCTCATGCGCCTGCAGTGCCAGAGATCCTCCCTCCCTTTTGCTCTTCTCTCCCACATTTTCCCCTGCTTTTCCCCTCTTCTCCCGCTTCTATTCCGATGTACAGGCCAAGCGCACGCTCATCATGCGGCACGAGTCGGATCTCAAAGACAACGCGTACTGGCTGGGCATGCTGACTCACCTGCAGTTCCAATCTCACTCTATTTCACACCCTGTCCCCCTCTAACTCCCTCCGCAACTCAGGCCAAGCGCACGCTCATCATGCGGCACGAGTCGGATCTCAAAGACAACGCGTACTGGCTGGGCATGCTGACTCACCTGCAGTTCCAATCTCACTCTATTTCACACCCTGTCCCCCTCTAACTCCCTCCGCAACTCAGGCCAAGCGCACGCTCATCATGCGGCACGAGTCGGATCTCAAAGACAACGCGTACTGGCTGGGCATGCTGACTCACCTGCAGTTCCAATCTCACTCTATTTCACACCCTGTCCCCCTCTAACTCCCTCCGCAACTCAGGCCAAGCGCACGCTCATCATGCGGCACGAGTCGGATCTCAAAGACAACGCGTACTGGCTGGGCATGCTGACTCACCTGCAGTTCCAATCTCACTCTATTTCACACCCTGTCCCCCTCTAACTCCCTCCGCAACTCAGGCCAAGCGCACGCTCATCATGCGGCACGAGTCGGATCTCAAAGACAACGCGTACTGGCTGGGCATGCTGACTCACCTGCAGTTCCAATCTCACTCTATTTCACACCCTGTCCCCCTCTAACTCCCTCCGCAACTCAGGCCAAGCGCACGCTCATCATGCGGCACGAGTCGGATCTCAAAGACAACGCGTACTGGCTGGGCATGCTGACTCACCTGCAGTGCGACTACGTGCCGCGCAAGACCGTGTCATGCATCGCAGACCTGCCGTGCATCTACGAGATCACCACCGTGGACGATGTCTACACGGTCTACAACCACATCCCGCTGGACGACAACAGCGTCTTCACGTGCATTGGTGTGGCTGGGGCCGTTGGATCGGATGTGGACTCGGCAGGGAGCGAGAGCGATGCGAGCGATGCAGGTGAGGAGGGCTGGAGCCTGGAGGTGTTGGAGGTTGGAGGTTGGAGGTTGGAGGTTTCTGTCGAGAGGATCTGCGGTGCTGTGTGTGTACGAGGTGACTTTTGAGTCGACTCAAAAGTCACCTCGTTTCTGTTGTGAGGGTCCGCGGTGCTGTGTGTGTATGACATGATGTGTGTAAGATGGCATGTATGGGGGCATTGTGGCGGGTGGACGATGTCTACACGGTGTACAACCACATCCCGCTGGACGACAGCAGTGTCTTCACGTGAATTGGCGTGGCTGGGGCCGTTGGGTCCGATGTGGACTCGGCAGGGAGTGAGAGTGCGAGTGATGCAGGTGAGGAGGAGGGGCTGGAGGCATTTAAGTGCCTAGGATCTCTATTTTGAGGCTATTGAAAGGATTCCGCGTTGTCATAAGAAAGCTGCGTTGCAGGTGAGGGGCTGCTGCCAGTGGAAACTGTTGAATGCAGGACAGCATGTAAGGCAGCAGGCAGTCAGATATGCCCAGGTGTTTTCTCTCAAATCCTTTGCTTCCTCTCCTGCCCACCATTTCGCCACCTCTCTCTCACCTCCAACCGTTCCTTTTCTCCCCCCCCTGCTCTCCATCAGAGCCAGTGCCGCCAGCAGGCACAATGAGCGGCGGCAGAGGTGCCTCCCTAATGACACGCCCCACAGCTTGAGGGGTGGCCCGGCCCCTGCTCCCGACCGGTTGGTGTGGTGGGGTATCACGCTCTCGCACGTCACAGCGTCGCTCTTCTGGACTTGTGAGCAGCGAATGCCCTTGAGTCGTTGCATTGCCAGCAGTGGGCGTGGATGACTGACTGCTCACTGCTGCCTGCACCATGGATCGTTGAGCCGCCTCCCAGCTCCTCCGTGTTCCTGTACGGTACCTCCATGACGCTCCAACTGCTAAGTTCTTACCAAGGCAGCGAGTTAATGAACCATGGTGCCAATCTAGGGTCACGGCGGCTTAACGCAACCCAACCTCACCATCTCACCATCACCTTCTCAGCGCCTTCCCAGCAGCTTCCCTGCTCCTTCGCAGCACCTTTCCGGCACCTTCACAGCAGCTTCATCACATCTGCCCACTGTGTCAGCAGCCCCACTCCCGTTGTCTCGTCACCACCATCCACACCTCGCCACTCTGCCTCAGAATCTGCCACGTCACCATCATCATCCCAGCTCATCTCCTCACACGGGTTGGAAGGATGACATAAGCAAGTGTAAGGGGTGCCTCCCAGCTTGCCCGTTTTAGGCTATAATTGTTAGAAACAAATGATGTTTGTGTGCGCTTTTGCAGTGTCCACACGTGGCAATTGCTGGATGCCTGGTGTAGAAAAGGGCATAAGGGCATGGGGGGTGCCCCTGTAGACACTTGAGTTGGATCAAGCTTGGTTTTTCTCTAGGATGCTGCAGTTACCTTAGAATCTTCTGGGATGACTTTTCCTCAGCAACAATCACAAGATTCCCCTGAATACAGACCGCGTCATCCCCCCAAGCAAATGCTGAGCATCGGCTCCTTATTCAACCATGTGCCCCGCCGACTGTAGTTTAAAGCCCGCGGCCCAAATTGCGGGCCGCGCGGGTCAAGTTTTTAAAACTTGACGAAGTTGAGTGTCCAAGCATTTGAAAGTCACGCTGCTGCAATTTGGGACTTTCGGGTCTCACAAACTCACACCACGGTAAAAACTGGGGGCTGGCTGGGTTTGGCGAAAAAAACGATAGCAACGAAATTTGTAACGCTCGCCAAAACCCAACCCCCCAAAACTCCCCTCCCGGCAATTTGGGCTGCCGGCTTTAATCCATTAAGGAACTTTTTGGTGGACATTGCCCAATACATAACCACATGTTGTGGAGAGAACACAGTGTAAGGAATTAGAATTCCTTTCTGTAGTAAGTTGTTAGCGAGGACATCCCGAGGGTGTCGCGACGAACCTGCCTATTTCGTCGCACCGAACCACCCCCGAGTCGGCCTCCGCTCCAATCGTGGCCATCACCGAGCCATCCCATCCCGAACCCCCCGCCTAGCTAGGTTTTCCCCTATTTAGGCCTCGCTACTTCATTGTTCAATCATTCTGTAATTTCTCATTCTCGTTATTCGATATCCGCGCACTCTGACAAGTTCATTCATAACACCTGGTATCAGAGCTACTTTCCTAGCCTACCCCGCTTTTTAGAGTGTAATACCCCTCGGGGGGGGGGGGGGGGGGGGGGGGACGAGTAAGGATGCCTTGGGGTCCAGGAGTTGCGTAGGCCGGCCAAGAGAACTAGTTAGTTGCTCTTCGCGGCCATGGTTTTACGGGGCACTCCTTCGGCACCGCCAGATCCTTAGCTCGACGGTCGCGATCGACCATGACCTCCCTCCCCCCGGGCGACGGGCAGCAGTAGCTGTCGCGACATTAAAGTGAGTAATTTCCGCTGCGATTTCCGACGATTTCGGAGCTTGATTCGTGTGGCAGCCTGCGTCAGCGGACCTGCGTCGGCACCTGCACGAACAGCATCGACGTCGTCATCACGAGTGGCAGCTGGCGTTGGCGGATCTGCGTCAACAGTTGCGCGAAGATTTCGGAGTCGTCCCTACGCGGCAAGTGACGTCGATGGCAAGCCGTCATCTTGTGCGCGAGATTCTCGGGAGAATCTTCGGCAGCTGGCGACAACGGGCCTGCGTCAGCATGGGCGACAATTTCGGAGGTTTCTACTGTGAAGAAAAGGGCAGCTCGAAGGACTCGCCAGGCGCAAATGGAGTTTTGCGTCAGAGGATCCCGACGGCTGGAGAGATAGACGCTCAAGCCGCCCGAATTAGAGTTTTATCCCGTCCGACCGAATAGTGTGGCGCTTACCGTACTGGCGGGCGAGTCGTCGACGATTTTCGGCAGAAGTGCTTGTGGACAGACGGGAACTTTGGACCCGCCGACACTTACGGGCTGCAACAGACAACGACGTGGCTAAATCGCACTTAGCAGGAGTGGGGCGCAGGCGCGAGGGCATATCGGGACTGAACACCCGAGAAATACTCGTTTGTTGCTGCGTGCCTGGAGCTGCTTGCCAGCTGTTCGACAGTTTCGAGATCGGTTTCCCCGTTCAAGGAAGCCGTTTTCGGGGACAGCCGCAACAGCCCACGATTAAACGGTGTTCAACGTGCCACCCCGACAATTTCGGAGTGTGGTGCAGGCCGCCGGGACACGCGTGAAGAAACTGCCCAACGGCTAAGCGGGGGTTGAAGAACGTCGTGGGGAGCAGATAAAAGCCGGTGGAACCGATCTGCGGCCCTACTTCGCCCGAACCTCACCATCCCCACCGATTACTGGTTCCGACTCATGCAGTCGACCTTATTCGGATGAATAACGGGGGTGAACACGAGCCTACCCTGCGCTGGTTAAAAGCACCTGGTTTGGTGCCCGTTCGACAGCTGTACAGAAAAGACAAAAAAGGGGAGTTGCGGCACTGTTCTACTCCGACAAAAGCGGGCTGGGTGAAACAGCACGCGAAAAAATCGGGGCGCCGCAGGACAACACTGGTGCAGTTTACAGGTTTCCTCTGACCCGGGCGTCTACACGAGGTGACGGCGCAGCGGCGAAGCTGGGACCGGAAGCTGTGGAATTTTAGTGGCGCGACGGGCACGGTGGGCTGCGAAGCGGTTGGGACTGATTTCCTTTTAACTAAGGCAACCCCGACTCCGATAGTCTTTTCTTCTCCACCGTGGCTGGGGTTCGCGCAGGGCAACACCGACAATACCCCATCCGACAAAAGCGGACGCTGGGTGAACGGCGGGAAGTGGAATGTTCGGGGGGTGAAATGACAAAAAAAAATATGAAGCTGAGGGTGTTTCTTCGTTTCTTGGAGTGCGGTTGAGTCGCTGGGGGACTTCGCCTGAAGGGCGCTTTTCGAAGTTGCCTGGCAAGAAACACAGCGGCAAGGATTCCTAGGACCCTTGGTGTTTAAACGCACACCTCGGGAAATTCTTCAAAAAAGGGAAGCGTGGGAGCAGTCGTAGCTTCGGGAACTTATCGGCCGGCGACGAGCGATGGGTGAAACATCTGCAAAGCGCTGGTGGGAGAAACAGGGAGTTTTTGTTAAACGACATCGGCGGGAGCAGCTTCGACTACGGAGGTCAACGGCGTTGATGCCTCTAGGTTCCGTGAAATTCGGTCTCGGAAGACCCAGGGCAGTCCCCGGTTCTCGATTTAACCCACATGCTGGGGTCGGGTAAACCGAAGGAAACTGATGGTGACCGAGTGGGCGGCTATAGCACGAACGAAGATTTCGGAGGCGAACTGCAACTGCAACGGCGAATTTTACGGGGTTGTTTTTGAGCGAAATTTTCGGAGTTTTACGTGGGGACTTACAGGTTTACGGCGGGAAGCGCCGACAATTTCGGAAGACTTTTCGGAGTTTTGGTTAAACGCACGCGACATTTACGCAGGGCAACGGCGCGGGAACTACACGGACTTTTCAAGGGGTATGAACGACTTACGACGAACTGGAGGAGGCGGCAGCAACAGTGGAAGGGGGGAGAGACAGCTGTAATTTTTACATCTCTGCCCGGGAGTCATCGGCGGATTGCGACAACATGCTCGGCGAGTATGGACAAACCCGCCGGAGGTGCTGACATCATCTGACACTGATTCGTGTTCGACAATATTTTTCGGAGTGACATTCGCTACGGTTACTGCTTCGACGACCATCGCCGACTCTCGATAAACAACTTCGCCTTTAATCGCCTTCAATCGCCGACTTCGACGACACTCGTAACACTCCTGATTTCACGGCCAGAGGTTTTCAGGACGGTTCCATTCCGACTCTACTAGCGACAAACCCATCCACTCGACCCGCCCACGACAACTGCATTGATTTCAACCACGTCAGGTGCTGCCAGTTGCAACTGCTGCAGATACTGCACGATTCTGGCGACGTGAAGACAAAAAGCTTCAGTTCGAGTACTTGGCAACTTTGGTTTCGGTTTCTGGTCTACTTCTGCGAGTTCGCCCTCGAAGATTTTATGGGCACGTAATACCTGGTTTCGTCATCAGAATTTCCACACCGACGCAACTTCACCCGGCATTCTTCGCTCAACGGCTTTCTTCGTGGGACTTAACACCTGGATTTTGTGTGTTTTCATCTCGGCGCAGCTGCGGGAACTTTTCTGGTGCCATTTTCTTGGAGGGGGGGAGAAAGTGCTTTGCACTGTTTTCTTCCTTGGCGTTTTCTTGGTCCTTTTCTGACTTTGTCAGGTTGCGTCAGCACAACAGACGATTGCGATCGCACCGACACAATCTACGGTTCCTGCTCAATCGCGTTTGAATTCGCGTCAGCTGGTTCCCTCCACATCCGCGTCACCGTCAACCGTCAGATCGACATTTGAAATCATCAGCGGTCAACGCGAGCTCTGACCGTCCGATCAACATCTGCTCGATCAACGGCTCTGTTTCCAACCTTCAATTCGAATTGGTCCACTTCATCTTCGACCGTCAGATCGAGACCTGACTACATCAACGGCCTACATTCCAACTTTTTCGCCCAAGGGATTTCAGCCATCGGATTCAGCTGAAAGGGAGATCAACGGCGTACTCATTACGGAAGGCTTCGGTCTACATACAGGGAGGGCTTATTTGGAAGGTGGGAGAGTGTAAGGAATTAGAATTCCTTACTGTAGTAAGTTGTTAGCGAGGACATCCCAAGAGTGTCGCGACGAACCTGCGATGCCTATTTCGTCGCACCGAACCACCCCCGAGTCGGCCTCCGCTCCAATCGTGGCCATCACCGAGCCATCCCATCCCGAACCCCCCGCCTAGCTAGGTTTTCCCCTATTTAGGCCTCGCTACTTCATTGTTCAATCATTCTGTAATTTCTCATTCTCGTTATTCGATATCCGCGCACTCTGACAAGTTCATTCATAACACCTGGTATCAGAGCTACTTTCCATTTGTGAATATCTCGCAAAAGTGGTGCCTACCAAGGGACATGAGTACGGGGCGTTTTGGAATCACTCAATCTGGCTTAATTGTAGACTCGCTTGAGAGTTTGAAGGATATTTCATGTATTTCTTATAGACAATTGGATTTCTACAGCGAAGGACACACCCGGAACTTGAGGGACATGCTGTTTGCAGATAGGTGTGCCCACGGGACGACGATCATATTAAAATGTTTGTGCCCAGCCCAGGTCAAGGGGTTAATGAGATCAACAAAAGGCGTTTAACACTTGTGTCATCCAAAATCTGCGCTGCCACATCGATCTCACCTCACCACGCAAGCAGTGTCGGGTTGGTCCTCGATGGGACTGTTGCCTTCCCCCACAAGACCATTTCCGCGTTCTTGTTCTTCGCGATTGTCCCCTGCGAAGCCTCCGCCACCACATTTCCAGCCCAAGTTTGTTGAAGGCGATGTTATAAGTCACATGTTCCTTTTTTGCGGTCGAGTACGACTTTGTCACGGTACAAAGGGTAAGATTGAGATATCACGTTTCACCGTTTCAAACCGAATTATACCCTAGACCGACATCGGCGCCCCCGCATCACGTGCCTTGGCGCGTCAAAATATCTCCGCTTCCTCCCCATCTCCCCTCTCCCCACCGGGATTCCGCCATCGCCTCACCACCAACTCATGCGCCCCATCATCGTTTTCCGCTGAGCGAGGGCTTCATCATCATTAGGTTTGACTGGAAGTTTGGCGTTTGATAGCGGTTTCTCAAGGTACTGTAATTTACAGTGGTGTGTCGTACAGCATGGTGGAGGAGGTCTGAGAATCGGCAGATGCAAAATGCCACCCCAGCCTCCCTATTTGCACCTAATCCCTTGTGCCCCTCACTTATCATAACTCAATCCACTTGGCTTCCCTAGTATCCTCTGCCCTTACCTTCATTGACATTCTTTAGTGGTTGTAGCCTCTGCCTAGACTCCTACAGGCGCTACAATCTTATTAGGTCACTGGTATGAGGCAATAGTCTACGTTATTGCACTTTCTGTCCTGAACGGAGTGCTGCGGTAACTAGGCAATCAGACGACCCTTTCAAGATGTCGTCGGTAAGTTGCACGCCTGCCAACGAAATGTAGGACACTGCTTCATTGCCAGCTCTTGGCGTGTATATCTGGAAGAAGATGGACGTGCAATTTTGGATCGTTCCTTTGTTTAACCGCTCAAATGTTCTCTATCATATCCATGAAATTGCATTGACGGTTGCCACCTTGACAAAAGCTATTTGTTGCACACAGTCCTTGGCAGCCCTCCTACCATTGAAAACTAAGGAGATTCGTATCCGCGTCGGGGCTGTTCTGGCATTTTGCGCATTGTCTTTCACAGCAGCCATGGTTTCCTCGGTGTGTGAAATGTCCGTTTAATTCTCTTTTGTGGTTCCGGTGCAGGGAAAGTCATCTCGACCATCAACAAAGAGCGTGCTCGGACCAGGTCATAATGGTGCGTTCCACTTCCTTATGACCTCAGCTCCTCGCCTCTCCTGGAAAACCGAACTCCACCCCGAAGCGTCATATCAGTCGACGTCTCGAATGTCGGCTCGTTACACGCTGTTTCCCGCTAATATTATTATCATTGACCGTTTCGACCCTCGAGCCGCTTTATTCTGAATCCGATAACGTTCGCGGCATTTTCGATGACCATTCCCGCTTCAACCACTGCAGTAACACCTACTGCATTTCTGCTGGCTAATTTCTGTCGAAGCTCCAAACAGAACTTTCACAACATGTCTCCACAATCCAGCCGTTTCATGCCGATTTTTCCAATCTCGAGCAAACCATGTCACCTCATTTCACAGCACTCCTCATGGCCGTCTATTGAATAACACACTTCATTTTCCTCGATATTTATCAAATTTTTATCCCCGAATCAGAATCGTCCGTCAGTCAGAGAATATCCGCGACATTTCCCTGAAAAAACATTCTCTGCATCTCCATTCACCATTTCAGACCCAACAATACTTTGATTACCGCAACCTATCAACCCCTCCTACCCCCACTCCCCCCCTATTTCCCCCAAACCCCCTCTCCTCCTCATGGCCGTCGATCAGAGAACATCCACGACATTTTCGACATCGGGCAGCAGCTGGGCGCCGGGCAGTTCGGGACGACGTACGTGTGCACGGAGCGGGCGACGGGCGTGCACTGGGCGTGCAAGACAATCCCTAAGTCCAAGCTACTCACGGAGGACGACGTCGAGGACGTGCGCCGCGAGGTCGCCATCCTCTACCACGTGCAGGTGCGATTCCGTGCAGGTGCGATTCCGTGCAGGTGCGATTCCGTGCAGGTGCGAACCCGTGCAGGTGCGATTCCGTGCAGGTGCGATTCCGTGCGGGTGCGATTCTCGACCACGTGCAGGTGCGATTCTGTGGGGGGTGCGTAGTTTTGACGCAGCTGCGTTTTTATTCAAGTGCGAATTTTCCGTCCAAGATCGTCGACGTGCGGGATGGACTGTTTCCCTGTCGTCTCAAAAGGAGACTCTCACGACCAGCTCGCGCAATCGCCTGTGACGATCGCCAACCCGGAGTAAATGATTTAAATCAGCCTTATTGGTATTGCGCGGAATCTGTGCTTGTTCTGCAAGTGAACGGAAAGATGTGGAATTCGATAAACGGAAAAATGTGCTGGCCGGCTGGCAATGGCGAGGCTTGTTGTACCCCCGTGCATTCCTGCTCTCCCCTTCGCGGACCAGCCCCGGCGCCGTGAACGTTCGCGGGGCCTACAAGGAAGAACCGAATGTTTCTCGTGTTTATCCAATTCAAGAGTGGTTGACATGGCGCATTTTCCCATCCGTTCCCTCACGAAACATCTAGGGGATGTGTGCGAGGATGAAAGGTGCTGTTTTCCCTCTCTGCGATTTCCCTAGCTCAGGACCCACCCAGCATCAAATACGCTTTCAGAACCGGCTGCTGACAGTAAATGGTTCTCCCTCGTTCTCGCTCACGCCCTTCAATCTCTTCACCCTCATTCCCGCCATGCCATCCCACTGATCCCTTTCCAGCAAGTCTCGCCCAACATTCTGAGCATCCGCAAGGCGTGAGGACCGCGACTTTCATGTTTCCCCGCTTCCTCTCAAGCTCTTCACTCTCATCCCCCTCATTCCCTCATCTCCCTCACCCCCTTCATCACCTTCATCCCGTTCCTCCTCTCCCACCAGGACTCGCCGAACATAGTGAACATCCGCGGGGTGTACGAGGACCGCGACTCGATGTTCCCTCGCCTCCTCACGCCCCTCTTCGCCCGCCTTATCCCCTTCATCCCGTTGCTCCCCATCCATCAGGACCAACCCAACATAGTGAACATCCGCGGTGCGTACGAGGATCGCGACTTCGTGCACATCGTGATGGAGCTCTGCACGGGAGGCGAGCTCTACGACACCATCATTGACCGCATCGAGGCCATGGGCGTGCCCTACACGTGAGTCCTGCACATGAGTCTCGTTATAAGGTGCCTCATAATAGCATCTCGTTAAGCTCTGCACGGGAGGCGAGCTCTATGACACCATCATTGACCGCATCGAGGCCATGGGCGTGCCCTACACGTGAGCCCCGTAGTAATATGCCTCAGAACATGTCCTGTACGTCGTTTGTTCTTGTCGAAAGCGTCCCCTACACACAATTCCCGTTACATTGTGTTTGCACCCTCTTTCAGTGTGATCATTTCGTCGTACTGCACACATAAGCTAGCTGTCTGGTGCCACCTTTTTCCCCTTCTCTCCTCTCCTCTCTTCTCTTCTCGTCTCCTCACCTCTCCTCTTCTTGCCTCGTCCTCACACAGCGAGCACGATGCAGCGGAGCTGGCAAGGGTGATAGTGCGGGTGGTGGAGACGTGTCACTCGCTGGGCGTGGTGCATCGCGACCTCAAGCCCGAGAACTTCCTCCTCTCCTCCTCTGACCCCGACGCCGAGCTCAAGGCAACCGACTTTGGCCTCTCCGCCTTCTACAAAGGTACGTGTTCCCGTTTTATGTAGTGTGACCACCTTTGAACAGCTTTAGCTTCCCCACCGCCTCCCCCTTTCCCTCGTTCTTCTCCTGATGCTTTTCTCCCCACCCTTCCCTCAAGCTTCTCCCCCGTTTCCCTCCCTCCCCCATTCCCTCCCCCTTTTTCCCTCGATCTCCTCCTGATTCTCTTCCTATGCTCCTCCTGCCTGTGTTGCTTTTCTTGACCTCATCGCCCACCACACTCCGTCCCTTTTCACTACACCTTTCCTCACTTCCCCGCCCTATCCCCTTTCCCAGGCGAGGGGCTGAGCCGGCACTGCGGCAGCCCCATGTACATGGCGCCAGAGGTGGTCAGATGGAGGCCTGCTTAGACTCCTGAAAGCCTTCCTTGATTGTGTCTTCTGTCTTGCCTTCTCCTATTTCGTCTTCACCCCAACACCCTCCCCACGTCGTGCCAGGCGAGGGGCTGAGTCGCCACTGCGGCAGTCCCATGTACATGGCGCCAGAGGTGGTGAGATGGAGGCCAGGCGCTCTGGGGGCGGGGCGCAAGCCGCCCAAGTACGGCCCTGAGGTGGACATCTGGAGCGCGGGGGTCATCATCTACGCTCTGCTCTCAGGGTTCCCTCCCTTCTACCACAGTACGTCTCGTCATGTATCGTCTTGTGCCACAGTACGTCTGCTAGCACTGTGATCCTTGCACCACACCTGGAAGAGGGAGATGGAAGGAAGATGATATTATGTATGCTTTGCCCTCACGATCCGCAACCTTCCGCCACGATAAACGGTTGTCTACTGTTCGAATCAGTGAAATAATCCTGATGGTCAAGCATTGCCATCCAACAAACGCCCTGTCAACAAACGCTCCTGCCTTTCCCCCCGTATTCCCACCAACACTCCCCCCTCCCCCCCACATCTTCCCCGCCCCGCACAACCCACTCGCCCACGCGAGGATATCAAGGTTCAGAATTCTTGTATAAAGACAGCCCTGTACAGCTTCCCTCTTGTCTATAACGCCACATTCATCTCCCCATCACCTCTCCCCCCGCAGGCAGCCACTCGTCCAAGGAGGTCTTCAAGGCCGTGCTGAAGGGCAACCCGTCCTTCTTTCCTTTCCCACACGTCACATTCTATCTCCTCTCTGCCACACATTCCCGTCTGCCGCCTCCCCCTGCTCTCCCCCCTGCAGGCAGCCACTCGTCCAAGGAGATATTCAAGGTGGTGATCAAGGGCAACCCGTCCCTCCCCTCTCTCACAAGTTATTGTCTCCCCCCTGCCACACACTGCCGTGTTCCTTCTCCCTGCCGCCCAATACGCGTTCCCTCGTCTCTCCCCCCCCGCAGGCAGCCACTCGTCCAAGGAGATATTCAAGGCGGTGCTCAAGGGCAACCCATCGTTCACAGTGCCGCCGTGGCCGGAGATCTCGGACCAGGCCAAGCACCTCGTGTCGTGGATGCTGCAGTCCGACCCCGCCATGCGCCCCACCGCGCATGAAGTGCTCTGTGAGTGCCGGCACCGCCTTCACTAACAGGATAGAAACAGTACGTTAGCACCACACGGGTAACACCGAATAACGGCAGTTGGTGCCGCATGTGTGACCGCCTTGGCGTGCTCCACGGGCTACATGCCTCCTTGTGAGCAACTCGTGCCCCATGGGTGACAGCAGCTAGTGTCACACAGGTCAGGTCTCAGCGCATGTCCGTTTACAATAAGCTTATCCTACTCCTTCCCACTCTTCCCCATCTCTTCCAATTTTCCCCCCTCGCAGGCCATCCGTGGCTGGGCGAGCCTGGCATTGCCACGCAGGAGCCTCTGCCACCCGTGGTGCTGTCCAGACTGAAGCAGTTCACGTCCATGGTCAAGCTCAAGCGGGTCGCCATGAAGGTGGGTGCACAGCGGTGTAGAGCGGTCCAGATTGTTCTAGATCAATGTAGTCAAGGCATGCGAGGCATGGAGGTGATTGAAGCAGTTCACTTTCATGGTCAAGCTAAAAGGAGTCGCCATGAAGGTGGGTGCAGCAGAGGGTTTTGAGCACTGAACAGCAATGAAGGCATGCAAAGCTTGAAGGTGACTGATGCTATTCAAGCTCACTCACGGTCAAGCTCAGTCTGGCAACTGTTCACATGCACCATGTATCCCATGCTTCAACACACCCATTCACCCCATGCCCGCGTGCATAACACAGGTCATTGCGGAGGGCCTGAAGGAGGAGGAGGTCACGGGGTTGAAGGAGATGTTTGAGATGATGGGCAGCAATGTGTGACTTGTGCACCACACATCCCCCATGCAGCAACAATTCCCCATCCACGTTGCCCCGCGTCCCTTGTTCTGCGTGCATGCATAACAGGTGATAGCGGAGGGGTTGAAGGAGGAGGAGATAGCGGGGCTGAAGGAGATGTTTGAGATGATGGACACGGATGGCAGCGGCACCATCACTCTGGACGAGCTGCGCGTGGGACTCAAGAAGGTTGGCGGGAACCTCACAGACGAGGAGATCGAGAAGATCATGGAGGAGGTGAGCAGTGGTGGGGATTCGTGGATGAGCGGTGGGGTGCGGTAATGAGTGGTGTGAGTGAAAACGTGAAGGAAAGAGTGGAAAGGACCCTGTGTGGCAAGAAGGTTGGCAGGAACCCGACAGCGGAGGAATTTGAGAAGACCGTGGAAAAGGTTGGGTTGGGAGTGGGGGGTATGGTGAGGAGTGGTGTAGCATGTGAACATTAAGGTGAGATTGGAAAGTCTCATGTGTGGCTCATAAGGGTTGGGGGAAACCTGACGGGCGAGGAGATCGAGAAGATTGTGGAGGAGTTTGGGAAGTGGGGATGATGGAGAGTGTGGGGTTCGGGGGAGGATGTGGTCATGCATGGGGAGGAGGTGTGGCTCTAGAAGGTTGGGTGGGGCAACCTGATGTGCAGAGTGAGAGAAAAAGGGGTGAGAGCAAGGAGGTGAGGGGAGATGGTGAGGTGCGGTTGCATGGACAAATAAGGCAATTGCAGGAAGGCCCTCTAAAGTTGTGAAGATTCCTAGAGAGTGGTTAGGCAAGCGAGTATAACACAAAGAAGGGTTCTGGGTAAATCTTTTGCCACTGGGAAAAGGTTGTAATTACCCCGTGTGCACAACTTGACCAAGTCCAACCATAGGTTGGAAGGGCAAGGGGTAAACATTCACCTTTTTTTTATTAACCAGTGACATCCCATCCTTGCACTCCCCCGTTTCCCTCTTTATGTACGCATGTCACCTCTTGTGATGCTCTTTGTCTTCTCCCTTCCAAATCTCCATTTTCTTTTTGTATTGCTCCCACCTCCTTCGTTCCCTCTCCCCCCGCTCGCAGACGGACATTGACCACAGTGGAGAGATTGAGTACGGGGAGTTCTTGGCAGCAACGCTGCATCTGAGCAAGATAGACAAGCAGGAGAACCTGCTCAAGGCGTTTGAGTACTTTGACGCCGACGGCAGCGGCACCATCACGCTGGACGAGCTGCAGAAGGCGTGTGAGGAGCTCAGGCTCAGCAAGGACGAGATCATGGCGATGATGGAGGAGATCGATGAGAACAACGTGAGTCACTGTGTGAAAGTGGCATAGTTGTTTGCGAGTCAGGGAAACAGATGTCTGAGGCGTGTGAGGAGCTAAGGCTCAGCAAGGACGAGATCATGGCGATGATGGAGGAGATCGATGAGAACAACGTGAGTCACTGTGTGAAAGTGGCATAGTTGCTTGCGAGTCAGGGAAACAGATGTCTGGGGCGTGTGAGGAGCTAAGGCTCAGCAAGGACGAGATCATGGCCATGATGGAGGAGATCGACGAGAACAACGTGAGTCGCTTTGGTTGTGGAGTGCTGTGAATTTGCAAGTCAATGAAGTCACCTCAGCAAGGACGAGATCATGGCGATGATGGAGGAAATCGATGAGAACAACGTGAGTTGCCTGCTGGATGTATGTTGTTGTGGGGTGCTGTAGTTCGTCTGGATGAGTGTCTTTTGAGTAAAATCTGGAATTATCTCAGCAAGGACGTGATCAGGCGATGATGGAGATCGATGAGAAAAACGTGAGTGTGTGTGGAGTGCTGTAGTTATGGATGCGGGGTGTGGGTGGGTGTTGTATGAGTCGACCTCGGCAAGGACGAGACGAGATCATGCGATGATGGAGGAGAAGAAACCAATAATAGCATGACTGACGTGTGTGTATTTGTGTTGGGAATGGTGCTTTGCTGCTTGCCTCTTTCACTGGTTACATGCTCACAATGCTCTCGATTCTGCACTCCCTGCTCAACCCACCCTCGCCTCTCTTGCAGAATGGAACCATTGAGTACAATGAATTTGTGCACAAGACACAAACAGGAGGAATATGTTTGAGGCGACTCAACATTTTTTGCTCAACCCACCCACCCTCGCCTTTTTTTGCAGGATGGAACCATTGACTACAATGAGTTTGTGCAAATGATGCGCAAGACACAAACAGGAGGAATGAGCCGGCGCGACATCATGGACGGCAACATGGGTGTCACAGATTCTGAGCTCTCAAGCAACACATTTCGTAACCTCATGGCTCCTGGTGAATAGTTGTGCACATGTCCCTTTAACAGCATTAAATGCCATGACCAACTATAGTGAGATCGACTGTAGGAAGGAGGATCAGTGTGCATGATATTGAATGATAGTAGTTGCCATCAGAAATGTGTCGGGGGCAGACACTTTTTTAGCCTGTTGCTTGTACTGATGGGCGTAGGTGTACTTGTTGCCCTCGTAACTTATGTTTTCGTCAGCGTCGGTTACCAGGATCAGCAACCTCGCAAGGCTCCTTTGATCCAACAGCACTGGCGGAAACCCTCCATACGTGCCTCTGCGACAGCGACTGTGACTGCGACATGCAAAAGGGAAGCGAATCGACAGAAAGGTCGGGTCGAGGCGACAGGCATAAAGGAGTTTGTTTCCTCAGAACCTTACTCGACCGTTATATTATTCGATTGTGCCGCTCCGGCAGGCTCAAGTATTACCCACCACATTAGCACTTTATTTGTTCTCTAAAATACTTCAGTCCGTCACTCTAGCACCACAGGGGATTAACTCAGCAATATAAGTAACTGCTTCCCTCCGGTCAGGCTGGAGCTATTGCGTTACTTTGTCCAACTTTCCAAAGTTTTGTGCGTTTCTTGTATAGAGTGCTGGCAGTGCAGATAGAAGGTGCTTCTTGATTGTGACCGACTCTTCGAAGCGCTTGTCGTCCCTTAGATATCAGAACGACGTATCAGTAGTCGAGTTAAACTAGCACGAATTGGTGCCGGGTACACGTCTCGCTTTCTGGAGCTTTTTTCTCGTACGCGTGGCATGTACGACTGTTTGAACTGACCTCTGTTGACAATGCTTTTAGTCGAATCTCATCATAGCTTACTCTCCCTTTCTGAAGTGATTGGGACGTTTAGTGCGGTTGTTTCGTGAAGCTCATGCATCCGCAACTGGTTTACGGGCTGGGGAAGTAAAAGCTGGGGTGAGGGAGAGGAGTAGAATAGGTTTATATTATTAATTGAAAGACGTTAACCAGCATATAGGACGCGAGGGTGCGAAGGAGAAGACGAATCCGCGACGTAGTAGGGTAATAAGGAACGATAACGATAGCGTGATTTCCGGTACGATGGAGGGAAGAACAGATATGGGGAAGGAGCAATCAACGTCAAGGCAAAAACCAGCATCGAGACAAGACACGGCGTTGAACCGAGACGCAGCGGCAACGCAAGCAGCAGCAATGGCCAATCCGGCATCGCAGTCGCAGCGAGAAGCTTCAGAGCAGCAGCAGCGCGTGCCGCTGCGCGCGATGGTGCACGAATGCATGCAGCGGTGGTTCCGGCAGACGCAATCCGAGGCAGAGAGCGGCGTGGCTCCCATGCAGACGCTGCTGGCGCAGATGTACCTCTCGGGGTATGGCGTCAAGGCGGACGCAGCTAAGGTGAGCAGCGAGGAAAATGACTTGTGTATCGTCTCAAATATTGACTCACCTTTTAATCCAAGGCGGAGAGCGGCGTGGCTCCCATGCAGACGCTGCTGGCGCAGATGTACCTGTCGGGGTATGGCGTCAAGGCGGACGCAGCTAAGGTAAGAGATCACTTTGAGATGGCTCAGAAGGCAGATGTACCTGTCGGGGAATGGCATCAAGGCGGACGCAGCTAAGGTGAGCAGCGAGCAAGATGACTATTTTGGGTTGAGACGTCCCGTAAGAGATTTTTGAGTTTTGAGACGTTTCAGCAAGACGCTGCTGGCGCAGATGTATCTCTCAGGGTATGGCGTCAAGGCGGACGCCGTCAAGGTGAGCAGCGAGTTAGATGAGTTAATTCACTGTAGGACTCACTTTCAGACCCATCTGAAGTTTCACTGCAAGGTTGTGGTACTGGAGCCAATGTGTTCAAGTCCAGGGGAGAGCAAAGGGAATTTCATTTTTGAGTTCATATGGACGTCACTTCGGGGTTAGATTCTCTTCTTGAGGTGACGCATCGATGTGGATGCAGGTCAGGTGAGTTGAGGAAAACGTCATATGATTCCTCAGGGTGCCTGCTTCGCCCCATTTCGTGTTATCCTTCTGTAGGTCCCTCATCTCCCGTCTTGTGCTCCTGGTCACCTCCTTTTTTCTCCATCCTTTTGTTCATTTTTCTGTGCTCCTGCTTGTGTACCCTCATTGTGTGCTGCTCAGGGGAAGGAGTGGCTGAAAAAGGCAGCAGAGAGGGACGGACAGGCTAGAATAATGCTGCGATCAATAAACGGTACGGTGATGATGTGATGGGTGCATGGGATGTGATGATGGTGACAATGATGGTTACGAGAAAATGATTTAACTGAATGCGGGAATGGTTTCTGCTGATGCTGGATTTTGTGACTGGTACACAAGGGTGATTCTTATGCTATTGAATTATTCTGTGTCTCCCATGACCAGAATATTGTTCAGCCTCAACAGTTTTATGACTGCCCCCTTCCTTCTGTCCCTCCCACATGAACATGAACATCCACCTTCCAGCCAAGTCAAGCAACACTGCTGTCTTTGATGACGACTTCTAAAGCCTCTTCCATTTCGCTGTGTTTTAGAAGTTTGCCTAATAGGCCAATATGGCCAACTACTCATGCTACCGGTATAAGCTGTGTTGTGAAAGAAATGCAATTGCCTTGTGTTGCGTTGATCCAAAATCCTGCACACAATAAGCAAGTAATATTTTTATCAGTATACTGAACTGCTGAGGGAGGTTCATTCCAAGTTCCAAGTTCCTTTGTGTAATATACTGGCACCAAATTCAGGTTCAGGTATTCACCAGCAACATGTGCTGAAGCAACGTTGAAACAACTTTGACTCCCACCTTTCTTGCCTTGAGGGCACTGTTTCACAGTGGGCAGGGCACCGTAATTGAGATGCAGAGTCTATTGCACTAAAGCGTACAACGGAAGCAACACAAAACAAACTCTCAAATCCAGAACCAGAACACAGTTTTGAAGGACGCCTTCACCTAACTTGGTCACAACACAACAGCCTGCTAATTACCCCACATTCCACCAGTAACTTGTGGCATGTTGAATCCAATGCGTGCCTCTCTTAGAAGCCACATTGCTGCTGCGCTATCGTAAAAGCCCATGGCATCACATTAACTCCATGTTCACTCCCCTTGAGCCCCAACGCCAGCCAGCAACTGGGCATCAAGAGGACCTATTGACCAGAGATATCGGTCCTCAAGTCATACATGTTATAAATGCAACATTCCTGCTCGTCGCTCATACTGTCAATCGCGAGGTCACTCCCTTTTATCCCCATGAGCCGCAGCATCTTGAGGTCAGTCAAGCCCTCGGGCAGCGCCTGCAGCTGCTTGCACTCTCCCAAGTACAGGTCCTTCAGCCGGGACAGCTGAGCCACGTTGGCAGGAAGGGCACGGATGCCTGTGTCCTCGACATTCAGCTCGTGAAGACACGAGAGACGCGTGAGGGAGGCAGGAAGGTGCTGCAGTGCAGCGCAGCGGGACAGGCGAAGGTACCTCAGCCTGGATAAGGCACCAATGCCCTCCGGGAGGGAGCGCAGCTGGGACGCGCATTGTATGTCCAGCGATGTGAGGTGCTGGAGCCGTGTGATGGAATCTGGTAGCTCTGTCAACCCCTCGGTGACGTGCAATCGCAGCTGCCGTAGCTGCGGCAGGTCAATCCCGAGGTCGCTTGGAAGCCGCTGGATCTGATTTCCATATGAGATCTCCAAAACGCGAAGCTGCGGGAAGGGAAACCGAGGGAACGGAAACTTCTCAACAGCTGCTCCAATGGTTAAATTCAAATACTCCAAGTTCTCCAGATGTTTCAGATGAGGTGCGCTGCTGCTGCTGCTGCTGCTGCTGCTGCTGCTGCCAATTCCGGCTGCTCCTTGCCCTGTCCCCTCCACACTCAGAGTCAATCTCCTCAAATTTGACAGCATTGAGAGATCTGGCAGGAAGGTAACTGGGTCGTGGAGATCTAAGCTCAGGACCTCCAGAGAACGAGGAAGGTCGTCGGGAGGTTCAGTGAGCATGCAACAACCTGTCAACTGCAATTGCTTGAGCTTTTTCAGGTTGTCCAAGCTCCCAGCTATAGAGGTGAGCCGATTACAACTCTTGATTGTGAGGATCTGAAGGCTGGTGAGAGCAGTGAAGGACGCTGGAAGCTCCCTGATTGGGCAGGAACGGAGATGCAGCTGCTGCAGGTTACTCAGCTTCCCCAAATCCCGAGGGAAATCTTCTTCCATCTGGCAACTGTCCAGTTCAAGCCGAGTCAAGGAAGTCAACCGGGGGAGTGAAGGCAGGAGTTGATGCACAGTAACGAACTTGAGGTAAAGTGTATGAAGTTGAGGGAATCCTGCAATACACTCTGGAATGGGGAACTCGTCCCATTCTACCACGTGCATAATGCATAGGGTCTGGAGCGATGTGAGGTTGCAGAATCCGTCAGGGAGTTGGTCCATTTGAACACACTCGCTCATGATAAGAGTCTCTAGAGAGGTGATCTGGCAGGAGTCTGGAAGATCGGGAAGAAAATACACTGCGTTCAGCACCAATGTTTTTAGAACAGGTAGCTGCCCGAAATTCCCGGGCACGCTGCGAAAATCATCGCAGGTGGAGATAACCAAACTCTCGAGATTGCTGAGGGAAGCGAAGCTCTCAGGCAGCTCGGTAAACTTCTCGCACTCGCGAATGGAGAGCTCTCGAAGGCGCGGCAGCAGCTGTGCAATGTCGCGAGGAAGCTCCACGGTTTGATTAAACTCCTCATCGTCACGCCAATTTTTCATGGAGATGACGAGCCGCTCAACGCTGCTGCTCGGCTCTCCCGACGGGAACAACTCGGGAAAGCATCCCGCGAATCCCAGCGACTTTAACTTGGGAAGCTGTGCAATAGGGAGAGCAGCCAAGCGGTCAACTTGCGTTCCTGGCGAGATGGAGATGCTTGTGAGGCTGCGCAGGCGGACGAGGTTCGAGAGCTGCTGGCGCGTGAGTTTCAGGGATGCGATAAGGAGGGTGGTGAGGGAAGTGAGATTCGACAGGTCAGGAGATTCTAACGCGGACGCGTCTGTCAGCACAAGAGTGTGCATATCAGTTAGTTGGAAGAAGGAAGCCGGTAGCTTCGCGTGTGGATGGAGGCAATAAAGGGAAAGCTGCTGCAGCTGCGAGCAATGGCGGAGGAAATTGCCTAACCCAGATTCGGATACGGGGTGTAGATCCATCCTCGAATCGCAGTGAGGATGGTATTTGCTCAGAGTATGTGTGATTTGACGTCCTACGTGGAGGGCTGTCAGGTTAGGGCCGCATGACGTGGCGAGGTGGGTGAAAAAGGCATCGTCTAGAATTTCTACGCTGCTGTCGCTCAGATGGAGATGGGTGAGATTTGCGAAGCAGGCGACGGCGTTCGAAAGGTCCTGAAGAGAAACCACAACGTTCTCCTTGACGAAAAGCGTGGTGACGTAGCGGCGAGCAATGTTTCGCCAGCGACGGCAGACGGACGCGACGAGGAGATTTCGCGAGGCATCTGCAAGGATAGGAGTGGGTAGCGACTGTAACGGAATCTTGTCGGCGGTAATCGAGCTCGTATGGTCCTGGATAGATGGGTGGATCTACGGACGGATCTGCATAGATGTACATGGGCTCGGGTCTCAACAAGGCCCAGAGAGCGTCGCTGGCAGATCTGCATGTGGAGGTTGACGGCTGCTGATTGGAGGAGTGCCAAAGGATTTTGACGAGGAGCTCCTCGGGAAGATCGTGTATGGGGCAACGGTGGTCCATTTCCTAATGGGAGAGGCTGACGGTGCGAGGAGAGTAGATGGATACTACCGAGAGCGAGACAATGTGAGGAGTGCGAGCCGATGCGACGCGGGGGAGAAGATGGAACAGGTAAGCGGCATCCGCGGTACTCTATGGTTGTGTCTCAGGAAATCCAGCAGCGTCGAGGTTAAAGAAACTAGCCGCGAAAATGGAGGCGATCCGTGCCTGCCGCAGCCTCCGTGCGAGGTTTTAGGATTGGCGCGTAACTGTGAAGCAGCAGTAGAGAAAGTAGTAGTGTCCCCATACAGCGCTTAGTGGCCGTCAATGCCGTGAGTTTGAGAACGCCCTAAAACTCTCGTCGTTTGGGAAGCACGTGCCAATCTTATGAAAGCCGACAGCTGCGGGAGAGGGGTGGTTGGGTTGGGTCTGTCAGGGCTGGTGCCTTAAACGTGTGTGGTTGAATGCACTTCAGTGCGGTAAGCCGCATAACTTCGCGTTTCGCCAATCAAATGTATCTAAACCAGGGTCCTCGCTAGGATTTGAACCCCCCTGATGCGTCAGACGGGCCCTTCGGGCCCGTCTGATGCATCAGATATTTTGCCTTTGCGTGTCTGATGCATCAGAAATTTCAGAAGTACTTGTCTGACCAATTAAAATAGAGTTTCTAGCGTGTAGATGCACGTGGGATAAAAAGTTGAGTCTGACTCTTCTTGACCTGTCACATTCATTCGAAGTACACAGTGGTGTGATTCGGACTTCACTGGTCTCAGCAAAATCGCCCTAACACGGCAGATTCGCCCTGTCAGAGCACAATATATCGCCCAATCAGAGCTTAATTCGCTCTGACACGGCAGATTCGCGACGTCAGAGCGCAACATGTTCGTCCCATCATAGAATAACCCGTCCTGACACAAGAGATTCGACCTTACACAACACAGCAGATTCGCTTAGACAACAGATTCGCCCTGTCAGAGCATGTTCTGCGGGAAATCCCCGTACTCTAGCATGTTTCGGTTTCAGACGAAACATATAATACACTTCTGATGGATCAGATGAAGTCAAAAAATATTTCTACTCAATCAGATGGAAAAAATAAATTATTCCTTGAAAACCAGATTAACTGGATAAAAATCGTCTGGAAACTAAGACAAACAGACAAAAATGTCTGATGTCGAGGACCCTGATCTAAACAGATGCAGAACAGTGAGAAAAAGCAACTGAGTTTGCATCCTCATACTACAGGCTTAGACGTTTGCAAAGGTAACAAACGGTGGGCCATTTCATTTTTTCATAGCAATGCTTGATGATAATCAGACTCCTCTCCTCAGGCTTGTGAATGCATGCTTCAATTATAAAAAAATCGAAGCAGTCCAGACATACACATTGAAAACCAAGAGATACGACATGGTATCCCCTAGAAGCATGGCTGCCTGACCATTGCTGATAATCAGAATCAACGGGACCCAAGGACTTCCTTATAAGCCTCTCCTGACTTTCTAGAGCTGCTGCTGCTGCTGCCAATCCTCAATCCAGCTTAGAACTGCCTCTTCTTGCAAGCAGAGGAGGTGCAGTTGAGGTTGGGTGGCAGGATGACAAACGTCACGCCATGCGCCGCCAGATTCTCTGTCAGCCCTGCATTGGGCACGCTGAGAGGAGAGGCGAACTTCATGGGGGGAATGGACTGGAAATACACCTCGTTGGGCTTGGCAGTCTTGTTCAGCGGCAGATTCTGGTTAAGAGTGGGGAAGAGCGTGAGCGGCGGCGCATCGAGGAGCTCCTGTGTGGTGTAGCGCCCCTTGATCACGTGGTATCGCAGCACGCGGCGCTTCTGCTTGGGCGTGAGCGTGTTCCACTGCGTCAGGTAGCGCCAGTGCCCCACGTTGGTGGGGATCAGCAGCGTCGCCGGCTGGTCTATGTACAGCTGGCCCGATTGGTCTGCGCATCGTGGAAAAGGGGGATGAGGGATGAAGGACGAAGGGAAGGAACAGGGCATGACAGGAAGACATTGGTGCAAGAAGAAGGAAGCATGGGGGGTCAAAAAGACTGAATAAGACTCAGATCGATGAGTCAATGTGGTTGCAAGAAATGCCCTTCTGAACGTGTCTAAAACGGGATGAACGGGTCAGAACGTAAAAAAGTGCGAGTGAGTGAGATGGGTTGGGCGCTCACAAAAGTCTGTGAGAGTAAGAGGCAGTGAGTGAGTGAGGGTGTTGGGAGGGAGCTCACAGAAGTCGGTGAAAATCTCAGAGAAGGCGGAGAGGTAAGTCTGCTGCGACACCTGCTGGAGGATCGACTCCGTCTGCGCCTCCCAGTCCGCCTGCCCCTGCCCCTCCGCCTGCGCCTTAAGGAGCGCGCTGCTGCTCAGCAGAGACGTGACGAGGAGTGCTGCGATACCACTGGCGAAAATTGCCCACGGGGTTATTGCGTTTCGCGCCATGATTTCTCGCGAGATAAGAAGCGAAGTAGGAAAGTCGAGGGGCGCTGACGACAGTGATAGAGGATCCCTTGTTAAGACCGACTCAGAACAAGGCTGCGAATGCTGTGAATGATAGTGGCTGCTCCTGCCAGCTTTATATCAACCCCCGCCGCCCGTATCCCCCTCCCTCCCCGTCTCCCCTCTCAACCCGACTCGACTCGACACTCGGGAGCCGCGAGCGCGGCGCATGGGCAGTAAGCGGTGCGACGGACGCAACAACCTCTTGCGGGTAGCGTGGGGGCTACTAGCAGTGCTAATATTGACCAACCATATGTTATTGGTCTTGGAATCGACTTGGAAGCTTCCATCAGAAAGTGGGTGGACGGCAAAGCCTATCAAAGGATGAGGGATCGATCCGATCAACTACCGGGCTGCTGCTGCTGCTGCTGCTCCTGCTGCTACGTAGCAGGGCTGCTGCTGCTACAAGAGCAAACTGTCATCTTGATGCGTGCGGCGTTCTGATCATACGACAACACTGAAAAGCCGCTGCTGCTGGTGCTGATTTCTGGCAGCGAAGACTCCGCATTAGCAGGTTCACACGGTTGGTAGGATGAACATTGCGTGCAATTGCTGGTGGTATCAGCTGCGTTGACTCGACAACAGCAACAACTACGCCGTTGCGAGTCCCAGCGATGGTCGCGCTAAGCGGCACTCAGCCGCATATGCCGCCGTGCATTCGGCGACGAGACCAGGCGGTTGATTACCCACGTGAGAGACGACGCTGCATGCATGTCGTTCACGAATCGGCGAAAGCGCACTGTACCGTACCGCAGCAATGTATGCGCTGCAGCAATTACATGTCTAACGGCAAGTGTGGGTGGTGCGGTGCGGAATGTTTAGGCCGAGAAGGAAGACCAAGCGGCTTTTGGGGTTTGGGTAGAACATGGTTCAAGCAGGGACCCAGAAGCGATGCATCCGCGGGGTTGGGAGTGATATTCAGCATTTAACTTGGGTTCCGTACGGTAGTGAGTCAATGAATGCTGGTAAGGACGTGTAAGATTTTTGAAATTGGCAAAATTTGCATTTTTTTTGGTCGAATGTAGCATTTGAACTTGAGCCGAACAGTGTTCGACTTCCATGAACGTGAATTTTGAACCGCACATGAGAGTTTCAAGTAGGTCAAATCACATACCCAAGGTCGAATTTGGATGTTCGACCTTATAGGAGGTGAGCCGAGCCGCTCGTGGGGGCTGTAGGTTACCAGGTATAATTTTGTAGACATCGCGCCACTTTAAAGCCGGCAGCCCAAATTGCACATGTTTTAAAAAGTTGACGGGAGGGGAGTTTTACTGGGTTGGGTTTTGGCGAGCGTTACTGATTTCGTTCAAGTCGTTTTTTTCGCCAAACCCAGCCAGCCCCTAGTGTTTACACTGGTGTGAGTGTGTGAGACCCGAAAGTCCCAAATTGCAGCCGCGCTTCTTTTCAAAAGCTTGCAGAACCAACTTCGTCAAGTTTTAAAAACTTGACCCGCGCGGTCCGCAATTTGGGCCGCGGGCTTTAACATTGTGTCGCAAAAGCTTCGCAGAACTCGTTAAATGTCGTACGTTCGGTTCACTGTACGCGCCCACATTAATGTATTTACTCGAGTCGAGTTCGGAAAACCTAGGTCGAATTTGCCACGTATTCAAAAGGAAAGTCTTTCGTCACAAAGCTTTCGCGAAATTAACGAAGCGGGTAACCAGAAAAAGGTCGACCTGTTTTCCGAACCTAGAAAACAATCATACACGTCCTAAGGATCTCCAGTTTCAGCCCAAGGGCCGTTCTTCCCTGCGCTGCAGCCAATTGTGCTGGTCCGTATTCACGTCAATAATCGTTCTAGGCTGGATCTCAATAAAGGTACAGTATACTAAAGTTTCTGAGATCGATTCCAACTTTCTTTCCTTTCAGTGCCACCGTGTCGGACCCTGGTCTATTTTAGGATCGCACCCCCTACGGCCTGCCTATTTCACATGCCTAGGGGCGATCGAACCTATGTAGGGTCGATCTTGATTCATCAGCACATTGTTCGTTTGTAGTTGACAGGGTTCGTGAGATGGCAATGAACATAAGGACGCGTCTCATGTGATAGATCCGCGCGACCAAAATAAAACGCTTGGTCCAGAGTTCGAACAGACGGACTCACTTAGCGGACCAGCGGTACACCAGACACGGACTGGGCTGCCTGATGCGTCGCGTCTCGGGCTGCACGGGATTTGCGAGTTGCAACAGTAGTGACGAAAAATTGACATGCTGAAATTGAGTTACCTTATCCTCTTCGTCTGGATACGTCTCCATGCCTTCGTGCGCGAAAATCACGTAACAATATTGTTCGCAAACAAAAGTTGACCCCCCCATGTTTACGGACCAGGCGCGGACTGATCTGGAGGCAAAGCAATGACCGGTTCTTGTTCCATTCGAACGGGTATGGGGTTACAAGCCCCGTACCCTGGTCCTGGTGCGCCGTTGGTTTGACGCGCTGGTTTTTGATCTGGTCAGGTTCGAGCCGGACCCACGTGGACTCAGACATTTGAGACACCTAAGGGCGCGTGTGATCCGTGAAATTCGTGAAAGTTTACATTTTTTGGGCGAGTTGTGCGAAGTGAACATAAGTCGAATCAATCTCGACTTCCTTGGTATCGAGGTTCGCACATCTGGACCACAACACTGCAGAAAAGCACACACACATACAAGGTCGAGTGCGCCGCATTTCTACAACGTAGGTTACCCGGTTCAGACGTCTTGACAGTGCGCCACGTGGCTGACGTGCGCCTCGGTTTAGGATAGGCTAGACCTCCAGCTCACCTTCAACACTGGGGTACAAATATCAGAGGTTGCCCACCTGGAGCTCTCGTCATTCCCCAAACATGACGATTCTCGCCACGTGGCCTCTATTCAGTACACGAAGGCTGTGGTGAGTTCGTTGTGCCACTGTTGCTACTCGTGAGTCGCTCGCACATTTCGCCCGATGACTGAACGTGCGGGAAATCACACACGTGAATGTGAACATGCCGAAGCACGTTCACAACTAAAACTCGAGTCTTGTTCAAGTTTGCAGTTCGCATGTTGCCAAACCCAAAGTTGACGAATTTTCGCTAATAGCTCCATGCGATATTGGCGAAACGGGTAACCACCCAAAGTTCGCACTTTATTTTGAACTTCAAAACCGACCTCACACGCCCTAATTTTCATGTGCTTTGGCCGGAGTGATGGTGCTGAGAAGAGAGTCGTGCCGCTGTGCTTACTTGCACGCATGTTACTGACTGTTGTACGGGAATGCGGTCGATGATTTCAGTGCGATTCCGCGTTGAAGGCTCATCGGTTCGTTGCTTCGCTCATCGGCAGCAGATGAAGGCTCATCGGCTCGTTGCTTCGCTCCGTAACCTACGCTCGTCGCACATCGCTCATCCCGCATCGCGTGCGCCTCGCGCGCCGCTCGCCCTGGGAGCATCCGTACTGCTCCTGATTCTACCGGCGCTAGTATTCCTCGACTGTCTCCCTCGTGTCGCCTCAAGTAGCTCGTCCCGATCCCCCGCCGTACCATCAGTAGCCGCAGCGCGACCGGAGCGCGGCCGCCGCCTCGCGGTGGACGAGCCGCAGGTGTTGGCAACATCTGTCGGCCGGGTGGGTCTGCTCCTGCAGTCGAGCGACGATTCTCGCGATCGAGGAGTCACCGCGAGTGGGGCCACCAATCCTCGTCGCCGCAATGCCAGCGAAGGTGTCGCGAATGTCGTGAATGATGTCGCGAGGGTCGCGTCTAACGTTCCAGAATCTGCCGTCGCCGGAACGACAGCGTGCGACGTGACGAAAGGGCGGTGGACCGCTGATCCGTCGCTGCCGCTGTACGACGCGAGATCGTGCCCGTTCATCCCGAAAAAGTTCAACTGCGCTTCAAACGGACGGCCTGATAACGAGTACGAAAAATGGCGGTGGGAGGTCGACGGAAACGGATGCACCCCACCGCATCCGACGCGATCTACACTCTGCGAGCTACTAAAGAACAAACGGATAATCTATATCGGGGATTCGATCATGGAGAACATGTTTTCATCCATGGCGTGCATGGCTCATCGACTCCTGGGAGCCCCGGACGTGACACCGGGGAAGGTGGAGCGATCGTACTCGCTGCACTGGTCGCCGTGCAACATCACACTCACCCTCATCTGGTGCGTCCGTCATCTGTGCCCATTCACCTGCCCTGTTTTGATTCACCTGCCCTGTTTTGATTCACCTGCCCTGTTTTGATTCACCTGCCCTGTTTTGATTCACCTGCCCTGTGCCAACAATTCACGCGCCCTGTGCCTACTCATTTGCATCTCTCTATTCGTCCTTCTCCTGATGTTGATGCCATGGCGTGGCATGGTTTGAATGGATGACATGTTGCTACCGCATGTCATGGCCTGCTGGGGATGGTAGGAGGCATGTGATGGCATGTTGTGGCCTGCTGTAGAATGGCATGTGATGGCATGTTGTGGCATGTGATGGCATGTTGTGGCATGTGATGGCATGTTGTGGCATGTGATGGCATGTTGTGGCATGTGATGACATGTTGTGGCATGTGATGGCATGTCATGGCCTGCTGTAGAATGGCATGTGATGGCATGAAGTGGCATGCTGGCATGGTAGGAGTGTGTTGTGGCATGCGCTGGCATGGTAGGAGTGTGTTGTGGCATGTGCTGGCATGGTAGGAGTGTGTTGTGGCATGTGCTGGCATGGTAGGAGTGTGTTGTGGCATGTGCTGGCATGGTAGGAGTGTGTTGTGGCATGTGCTGGCATGGTAGGAGTGTGTTGTGGCATGTGCTGGCATGGTAGGAGTGTGTTGTGGCATGTGCTGGCATGGTAGGAGTGTGTTGTGGCATGTGCTGGCATGGTAGGAGTGTGTTGTGGCATGTGCTGGCATGGTAGGAGTGTGTTCATGGTGCAGACAGAATGGGTGGACGCCAGGGACCTATTCAAGGGAGGGCAGCTGGATGTGAGCGCACCCGACAGCACATGGGCAGATGTCGTGCCCTCCTATGACGTCATCGTCTTCAACACTGGTCAGTGGCGTGAGTTTCCCGTGGCGTGAGTTTCCCATGACGTCAGCTGCATGCATGTGTCAGAGTGCATGCATGGGTGAAGGTGCATGCACGCATGGGTCAAGGTGCATGCATGGGTCAAGGTGCATGCTGTCAGCATATGTATGCACCATCATCTCATTCCCTAAAGGTAGGATTGGCATCCCATTCCCTCCCACCCTCCCCAATACCTTCTTTTCCTGCCCTCCCCTCCTGCTTTCCCCCTTCTGCCTCCTCCAACCACCTTCCAGTTCTCCTCCCCTCCCCTCCCTTCCCTCCCCCTCCCCTCCACTCTCCCTTCACCTCCCCCTTCTATGCACCAGGAAACTGGTGGAAACCGAGGCAGGTACAGCGCTACGGCCTCACACTCAACCCGCCCTTCCACCAAACCAGCATCGTTGAAGCCTACCCGCACGGCCTCACAACCATTCTCACCGCACTGCACCGCAGGCAGCGCGTTACGGCGCGCGCGTTCCTGGTTACCAGCGTGTCGTTCCAGTTCAACGCCAGCTGTCCCGCCACTCAGCCCATTGCTGACATGGCGACGGCACGCACAACGATGGCGGTGCTGACCCGGGGGAAGAACGAGGTGTTGAAAGCGGTGCTGCGGAGGGTGTTGGAGGAGGAGGAGGAGAGGGAGAGGGAGAGGGAGGGGGAGAGGGAGGAGGAGGAGAAGGAGGTTGGGGGAAGAGAGGGACAGCAGAGGCAGCAGAGGCAGCAGAGGCAGCAGGGGCAGCCGGGGCAGCAGGCACTGTCGGTGCATATACGGGGCAAGGCAGGTGTGCAGCGCAGCAGCAGCAGCATGATACGGCTCTTAGACGTGCATGACTTGTCTCTCTTCCGCCACGATGCGCGGCCAGCAGGGTACCAGGGCAAGCAGGTCCGCCTGCATGACTGCGTGCACTACTGCGTTCCCGGTGTGCCTGACACATGGAATGAGCTGCTGCTGGGGATGATGGCCGACTGACAGCCTGCTGGCTGCTTGCGGGTCTGGTTGGTCTGCTTGTGGGTCTGGTTGGTCTGCTTGTGGGTCTGGTTGGTCTGCTTGTGGGTCTGGTTGGTCTGCTTGCGGGTCTGGTTGGTCTGCTTGTGGGTCTGGTTGGTCTGCTTGTGGGTCTGGTTGGTCTGCTTGTGGGTGTGGTCTGGAGTTCAGCTCATTCTGCCTGCGTGACTGTGTGCTCAGTGCACTGCTGCATTCCCGGTGTGCCCGACACGCGGAACAAGCTGCTGCTGCTGCTGCTGCTGCTGCTGCTGCTGCTGCTGCTGCTGCTGCTGTTGCTGCTGGGCATGATGGCCGAGTGACAGCCTTCCGGTTGGCGCTTCTAGTGTTGAGGCATCATGCAGCCTCATCCAGCCCGCGTGAACCTGCCTAGTGTTAATGTAGCGGAACCAGCCTACCAGTCTACACACGGGGCACCTGCCACTACACCTGGAACAAACTGCTGCTGGGGATGATAGATTAAAACCATGACCTTCTTCTAGTTGTATCCAGCGTTGGGGAAATGAAATAGCTTCCGTCGTCATGGCATGGATTTATGCGTGGTCTACTTCCTGGTGGTACCGTTGCAGCAGCGTGAAGCAGCGTCCCTGCCTTGGAACATGACGCAGCAGTGCTGCTGCGCGTCAGCATGTTACAGCAACCAGAAATACAGTACTGCACCTGGTTTTGCGGTATTGTGTGTAATTCTGTTTCTTCAGCAGCTGGTGACGGCCATCATTTCGTCTCTTATGCTGCAGTTTTCTGAGGCGCCTCGACAGAAGACAAGCATTAGTAGCAAGCTGGCAGATGCCGTGCCACCTTCTCAGTAAGTGAACACAGCGGAATGAGTAGGATTGATTGGGTTGGGGTACATATGCCTAACCCTAACTGCTTGTACCCCATATAGCATGACCCACAACAGGGTATAACATTTGACACACCCCCATAGCCTAAGTGGGGAATGCCAAGCAACAAGAAACGCAACCTAAGGTCACAAGACCAGTCACAAACAAAAGACAAAACAAAGCTCAGGGTGGATCACAACGTCACCACACAGTCTAAGCACAAACAGCGGCCACAAGGCCAGTTCAAGAGTGTATATGCAGATATATACTGTACAAGCAAAGACAAGAGACAAGCACTCACTACTGCAGTCTACTCGACCCAGTCTCAACGAGGCCCAACTGCAGACAGAACCGGCGGTGGTCACAAGGCTGAAGAGCCTTGGTGAAGATGTCTGCAGTGTTGGCCTCGGAGGCCACGAAGTCCAGACGAGCCTGCCCGCGTCTCTGCAACTCTCGAAGGAGGAAGTACCTGACGTCGATGTGCTTCACTCTGCTCTCCAGTCGAGGCTCACGACACAGGAGAATCATCGCCCTGTTGTCAGCAAACAGGGTCGGTGCAGAGCTCGGCCTCTCACCAAGGTCAGTGAGCAAAAAGGTCAACCAGCGTAGCTCCTGAGCAGCAAGGGCCCCAGCGTAGATCTCGGCCTCTGCGGTAGAAGTCGCAACCGAGGAGGACCGAGTAGACCTCCACGAAACAGCTCCAGAACCCAGGCTGAAACAGTAACCCTGCGTAGACCTCTGAGTCTCAACGTCGTCGGCGTAGGAGGAGTCGCAGTGACCGGTGAGTACAACTGGCTGTGTCCCTCCAAGTACAAGCCCCATGCCTGATGTCGCGCCAAGGTACTTCGCCACCCTCTTAGCCGCCGCCCAGTGAACAGGACGGTGTCTCCCAGTCGCAACAAAGCGAGACAGGATGCTAAGAGGGAAGGCGAGGTCCGGGCGAGTGCACGTCATCAGGTACATGAGGCAGCCCACCAGCTCTGCGTAGGGACCACTGGGCTCGAACGGCTCGTCAAGAAAAGGCCCAGTGAGTCTGTGGTCTACAGCAAGAGGAGTGGGTGTAGGAGAGGAGTCCTGAAGCCCGAACCGCTGAAGGACCTGTTGCACCATGTGTGACTGAGTCAGAGTGATGGTGCGAGCGGCTCTGTCCCTGGAGATCTGCAGGCCAAGGTATGTTCCCCAAGGTCAGTGCAGGTGTGTCTCTTCTGCAGTTCGGACTTCACCTCCGCCAGTGCAGCTGTGTCGGCTGTGGCAAAAACCAAGTCGTCAACGTAGACCAGAACGAAGAAAGGTGTGCGCCCACGACGAACAAACAGCGACGGGTCGGCGGAAGACGGCTCAAACCCGAGGTCGGAGAGAGTAGAGCGGAGAGTGTCGTGCCACTCACGGGGTGCCTGGCGGAGACCGTAGACCGGTCGTCTGAGGCTCCACTGGGTCCCAGGCGGGAAAGTGCCAGTGAAGCCCGGAGGACGACGCAGCCAGATCTCCTCGTGTAGGCGGCCCTGGAGGAAGGCAGTGGAGAAGTCAAGAGAGTGTAGCTCGTAGTCTCTCTGCGCTGCTACGTGCAGTAACACCCGAAGAGTGGTCATTTTCGGGGTGGGCGCGAAGGTCTGAAAGAAGTCAACTCCCTCGCGCTGACTGAACCCTCTAGCCACGTAGCGTGCCTTGAAGACTGGGGGAGATCCCGGCGGCCGCTTCACCTTGAAGATCCACATGCCGTCAACGATGTTCGCCCCTGGTGGGGGAACGTCGTCAACGTAAGTGCCTGTGGACCTGTAGGAGGCCATCTCTGCGTCCATGGCAGCTCTCCACTGAGAGGCCCAAGGCCCTGACACTGCCTCAGCGTAAGTGCGAGGAGTAGGTATGTCAGGAGCGTCGGGGTCTCCCTCAGGAGTGAGCAGCATGGCACAGAGATGAGGCGAAGCAGCTGCCAGGAACTCTAGCTCAAACTGTCTGTCCTCTAGGACGTCACAGCCAAGGGCAGACTCACCCCCGGCGGACAGAGGACGGACAGGAGGAGCGGCCACAACACGAGTGGCGTAGTCAAGGCGACGCGTAGCAGTAAAGTCAGTGACAGCGGCAGTGAGGACCGCGACGGAGGAAGGGGAGGCACGAGGGTCTGTAACAAGAGAGGCGAGAACACGAGAGAGAGTGGGGCGGTACGTGCGGTAGTAGTCAGTGACCGGAGTGGACAGGGAGGCAGTGAGGGAAGACTCAGGAGGACGAGGAAGGACAGACGGAGGAGAACGAGGAGGACTAGGACGAATCAATACAGTACGGAGGTCAGTGACAGGGGACGAGGGACGAGCACGAGGAGGACGAGAGGCCCAAGTGTGGGCGAGAGGAGGGGGGGACGGAGGAGACAGAGAACGAGGGAAGACAGCCGGAGTGGAGTCCGGAGGAGGAAACGTAGGACCGAACACAGGAGGAGAGGAGGGGAGACCAAGGGCCCGAAGGCCAGAAACAGGGGGCGGAGGCTGCTGCGGCTGCTGCTGCTGCTGCTGCTGCTGCTGCTGCTGCTGCTGCTGCTGCTGCTGCTGCTGCTGCTGCTGCTGTTGCTGCTCCTCCCGCTGCAACTCCAACCTCTCACTCTCCACCCGCTGCTGAAGCTCCAACCTCTCACGCTCCAAACGCTGCTGCTCCTCACGCTCAAGACGAAGACGGGCCTGGTGGCGAGTCGGGTAAGGGTGAGGAGGAGGAGTAGCGTGAGGAGACGACGAAGAAGAACCTGCTCCGCCCTCGACAGCACCCGGCTGAGCACCCCCAGAGCGAGTACCCCCCGCGGCAGCACGACCTGCACCTGCAGGAGGTGTACCCGCACCCCCAGCCGTGGTGCCCCCAGTAGCACCAGCACCAGCCCCAGACTCTCCAGCTCCAGAAACACCACCAGCTCCAGCACCACCACCAGCTCCAGTACCCTCGGAACGGGCAGCTGCGGCAGGTGCACGCTCAGCGCCAGTGCCAGCACCCCCAGAACTGACGCCAGCACCCTCAGAGCGAGCACCGCCAGAGCCCTCACCTCGAGCACCAACACCCTCAGAGTCCGCAGTGGCCGGTGAAGGAAGCGCCGACGGCTGCTGCGGAGGCGGTGAGGACGACTGTGGGGAAGGAGGAGAGACCTGGGGGGGTACCGAGGGAGGGGGAGTAGCGTGAGACACACCAGACGGAGCGGGAACAGGGGGGGGTACCGGAGGAGCAGGGGCGGGAGGAGGAGGAGCTGGAGCCAGGAAGAGGGGAGGGGGGGGAACCGGGAGACCTCGAGAGGGGTACCTGACGTAGTAGGGGACGGACTCGTCGAAACGGACGTCACGAGAGTCAAAGAACCGGTGGGAGGGTGGGTGGTAAAAGGTGAAGTCAGAGGAGCCCTCTGGGAAACCAAGGAAGACACAGGGGACGGCGCGAGGCGAGATCTTGTCCGCAGAGGTGTCGCGGACAAGAGCCAAGCAGCCCCAGACACTAAACCTCGACGCAACACCAGGGGACCCTGTCCAAAGACTGGTCGGTGAAGCCCCTGGCCGAGAGACGCGAGGCCAGAGGTTCAGCTGGTGAGCGGCGTACCGAGCCGCGTAGGGCCACAGAAAATGGGGGGCGCGGGCGTGGATCATGGAGGTGCGGGCGATCTCCATGACCAGGCCTAAGCGGCGCTCAGCAACCCCATTCTGCTGTGGAGAGTCTGGAAGAGTCCAGGACTGGGTGATGCCCTGCTCAGCACAGAATCTGGCGAGAATGCCGGAGCGAAACTCACCCCCACGGTCGGAGTGGAGACAACTGACACGACGACCACGAGTGCCCTCGGTGGCGAGGAGCCACCGGATCAGCGTAGAAGTCACGTCGGACTTCTTCGCCAAAGGGAACACGGTGGTGTACCGAGAGTAATCGTCAACGCCCACGCCAGCGTACCGGCCCGTAGGCCTGCCCGTCGCTCGCGCCTCCCGTAGGCCTGCCCGTCGCCCCGCCGTCCAGCCCGCAGGCCCGCGCGTCGCGTCGCCCGTAGGCCCGCGCGTCGCGCCTCCCGTAGGCCTGCCCGTCGCCCCGCCGTCCAGCCCGCAGGCCCGCGCGTCGCACTCGTTGCCCGTAGGCCTGCGCGTCGCGCCGCCTGCAGGCCCGCCCGTCGACCCGCCGTCCAGCCCGCAGGCCCGCGCGTCGCGTCGCCCGTAGGCCTGTGCGTCGCGCCGCCTGCAGGCCCGCCCGGTCGACCCGCCGTCCAGCCCGCAGGCCCGCGCGTCGCGTCGCCCGTAGGTCTGCGCGTCGCGCCGCCTGCAGGCCCGTCCGTCGACCCGCCGTCCAGCCCGTAGGCCTGCACGCCGCGCCGCCCATAGGCCAGCCCGCCGCGCCGCCCTCCAGTCCACTAGCTGAGCAGCCCTCCTGTCCACATGCTACGCCTCCTCCTCGCCTGCACGCCTGCGAGCTTACATCCTCGCTACTGACTGTCCCCCCCCTCCCGCGGCTGGCAGCCGCGCTCTCTCAGTCTCGCCCTCTATGGCGACCTCCCGAGTACTTCGTTTCGACCCTGAAGGGCGACCTATAGATTTTAGCACGTGGCTTACGCAGGCGCAGCGCCACCTTAAGAGCCAGCGGCAGGATGGCGTGCACTTGTTCGCACACGCATCCGGTACTCAGACCGCTCCCCAGCAGCCTAGCCCGCTGCCCACTACCCCACCGCCTACTCCTGAGCAGGAGGCCGAGTACCAGCGCCAGCTCCTCGCTCGCTCGCTCGCTCTGATACCATCTCAGTAAGTGAACATAGCGGAATGAGTAGGATTGATTGGGTTGGGGTACATATGCCTAACCCTAACTGCTTGTACCCCATATAGCATGACCCACAACAGGGTATAACATTTGACACACCTGCACTTGAGGGAGAAAGAGACGCGCCACATCTGGCACTCTCTGGGTCGGGGTTGCAATCAGCTTCAGGCGTGGCAATCTCTTGAAAAAAAACAGGCCCTTGAAGGTCACAGACCCATTCACCAGCCGAATGCTTTCCAGGGAAGGCAGCTGAGTGAGGAGCTCCATGCCAGCATCAGTACTCAGTTCTTCTACCGCAGTATAGCTCCAGTAGAAACGAAATGATTGCTACAAAAGCAAGGCACTGGCCAAGAGGAAGGCTGCTATTACAGCCACCATCAACAGGAGTTGTTCAGGCCGACAAGAGCTATACATGTGCTATGCGCTTAGGGTACATTCCGCTGTGGACACATGTCCCAATCGATGTGTCCCAATCGAGTGTACCGCTCCGAACCGAACTAAACCAGAGACGCGAAAATTTCGAAACTAGGGTGCAATTCGGTGTAAAACGATGCAGTGCGGTAGAAACGATTGGGACACATCGATTGGGACATGTGTCCACAGCGGAATGTACCCTTAGTAGCAAAGGATACAATTTGCAAGCCTTAGTAGCAAAGAATACAGATTACAAGCCTTAGCAGCAAAGGTTACAGATTACAAGCCTTAGCAGCAAAGGATACAGATTACAAGCCAAAGCAGCAAAGGATACAAATTACAAGCAAAGGATACAAATCAGAAGCCTTAGTAGCAAGCTGGCAGACGGTGTGCCACCCGCACTTCCTGGAGAAAGCGACGCACCACATCTGACACTTCCGTCGGGGTTGCAATCAGCTTCAGGCGTGGCAATGTCTTCAGAACATTCAAGCCCTTGAAGGTCACAAACGGATCCACCAGCCCAATGCTTTCCAAGGAAGTCAGCTGCGTGAGAAGCTCCATGCCAGCATCAGTGCTCAGTTCGGCTGGCAGCTCAAGAGTCGCCAGCTTGGGCAAGGCGGTCAAATACTGGAGCCCATCATCCTCCACGCTACTCCCACCTAGGAAAAGGCTCTTAAGGCGGCCCATCCTCCCCACGTGCTCCATGCCGTGTGATGACACACCCCAGCAGCCACTCAGGTGCAAGCAATGAAGGGAGCTCAGGCCGCTCAAGTGCTGCAACCCATCGTCCGTCACATCCGTCTCCCACATCAGAAGCACCTCAAGGCATGTGAGTCTCCCCACATGCGCCATGCCAGCAGATGTGATGGCCTTGCAGGCGGAAAGATACAGCGTCCGCAGATAAGAAAGGCTCGTCAGCTGCAGCAAGCCGGCGTCTGTCACGTTGGTGTAGCTCAAATCAAGATGCCCAAGCCGCTTTGCTGCCCCGATCTCCACCAAGGAACTGTCGTCAACGGATGTGCGGCTGAGATTTAAGCTCATCAGTCGTGGCAGCCTGAATAGGAGATTGACTGCTGCTGGGTTGAAGCCGGAAGACATGCGCAGTTGGATACTCTTCAGGTGGGTCATGGTGGACACGTGGCCCAGGATGGCATCTGAGAGGCAGGATAGATCCCCCAGATCCAGGTTCGTCCCGAATGACGCTGACTTGATCCTCTGATGGGCATGGGGAGGACAAAGAGGAGAGAGATCACAACTGACCGATGAGGGCGGAGCAGATGATACATGCAAGCACTTGATTAGCCTGAGAGTTCCGATGCATGGTCAGAAGTCTGTTGCGCTCACCTGCCACATGGCCCTGCTGTTGCCAGTGCTCTGCTGCAGTCCCTGCTCCACGTCCAACCTCAGGTCCTCCACCCGCTGCCATCCCTGCGCTGTTGCCAACCCCCCTTGCGCTGCCTCAAACTCCTCATGAGTAGGTACCAGTTCCGGCCTCAACTCATCCACCTCCTCCCTCTCCTTTCTCTCCTCTGCTTCTGCCACCTCCCCCTTACACTCAGCCAACTCCTCTGCTTCTGCCACCTCCCCCTTACACTCAGCCAACTCCTCTGCATCTGCCACCTCCCCCTTACACTCAGCCAACTCCTCTGCATCTGCCACCTCCCCCTTACACTCAGCCAACTCCTCTGCTTCTGCCACCTCCCCCTTACACTCAGCCAACTCCTCTGCATCTGCCACCTCCCCCTTACACTCAGCCAACTCCTCTGCATCTGCCACCTCCCCCTTACACTCAGCCAACTCCTCTGCATCTGCCACCTCCCCCTTACACTCAGCCAACTCCTCTGCATCTGCCACCTCCCCCTTACACTCAGCAACATCCGCTTTCACGGCTACCAACCCCCCCTTACGCTCGGTCAATTCCTCCTTCACAACTGCCAACTCCCCCTTGCACTCGGACAATTCTTCTTTCACTGCTGCTATTTCCAACTCCACTGATGCGGAAACACCTCTCATCATTCCAAGCAGCCCTCTCACTGCTTCAGCCAGCACATTTGGCTCTGTCTCCCAAGCCGTAGTGTCAACGTCAACTCTCATGATTTGTATACAGATCAATTCTCCGTTCTCCCGAGACCACAAATCCACTCCTGTTACCAGCGCTCAAGCCCAATCAGCCCTTTCTTATCTGGTAGTCGGGAAAAGTGGAAGGATGGAGAACATCCGCACGGCTTTCAAGGTATATGGAGTAAGGAAAAATGTCTAGGACAGAACTGCAAACACTGGAAACATTATTTAAGGAGAAGAATCTAAGGAACGAGAAGATCAAGAGAAGGGTCAATGGAAAGAGTTTCACAACAGAAAAAAGGAGAGAAAAAAAAGAATCTTTCAATAAATATACAAGGTCGGGAAGGTTCAGAGTTCAACCAGAACAGGAAGCAGGTGCGAAAGGTTCAAGCCGTCTGGAGTGCTCCAAGGGCGGGTATCACAATGACCGATAGCCAGAGGATGAAATTTAAATGGGTGTCGGAACCAGAGGGTATCAACATGGTGGAATTTTGGTGGAACAAATGCGTGACGAAACTGCCTTTACCTGCTCGGCGGCAATACTACCCCGCCCCCTTCCGTCGAATTGAAGCCTCCGACCCGCGAAAACTGATCTGAGATGAATATGCAAGAGGGCGAAATCGTCCTGAAGGTATGGGAGGGAGGCCTGTGAGAGATACTAAAACGCATCCGGGAAATCATCATATATAGGTGGGATTGTGGAGGTGGGATTGAGCCCAACACCTGCATTTCCCTTCACTCGGACCAAAAATGAACCTTCCATAGAAGCTGGGGCGACGGCGGGATTGCCTCACTTTGGTCCGACCCGAGTTACCCTTGTTTCGGTCCGAAATATTATGAGAGTGCCGCATGGCGGTCCGAATCCTGATTCGGACTTGGGATCTGGATGAGGGGCTCAGGATTCGGACTAGCGGAAACGCGACCAGATCCCAAGTCCGAATCACACGCGATTTGGGCTAACCTGTTTTAGGTTAGCAACGAGCTATGGAACAGAGGGCGCTGAATCAAAGATAACAAAACTTTCAAGTAACATCACGATGTAAGGTGACGGGACAAAATAGCATTAACATAATCGAGCCACATAAACGTTTCTTTTGAAAAAAAACAAGGGTTGGCACCTGGAAAAATAACGACAGCAAGGGGGGCCACTGAAGTTGGCCGATTTAAGTTGCTCCTACTCTATAGGGCTATGACTGTGCACGTGCTAATATCTGAGGCGCCTCAAACCGAGCTACAGCAAGGGGCCACTGGAGAGGTACTTGGCCGATTTGAGCGGCGCCTGGTCCGACTCTATCAATGGGCTCTGAATCTCCACCTGCTCCCCCTCCTGCCCTAGCTCCACCTCCTCCATTCGCTCCCCCTCCTCCATTCGCTCCCCCTCCTGCACCTGCACACCATTCTCTCCAGAAGCACCAGACCACTTCTCCTTGCCCTTGCTACTGCTGCTGCCGGGCCTGCTCCCTGTGCCACGTGGCCAGCACTGATTGGCCCAGGCTGCAGGCTTGGACGAGGGAGAGAGGGCCGTTTTGGGGGAGTGGGCGGGGGGTTGGGAGGACGAAGGCGAGGGGAGGGAGGAGGTGCGATTCAGCGGGGTAGGGGAGCGAGGCGAGGTGATGAGAGTACGAGGAGACTTCATTGCACCAGCACCAAAACCAGCAGCAGCAGCACTCCCTTCTGCCTTGTGGAGGCCGCGTGGGGAGGTGAAGCTACCAGAACCCGCACCATCAACCCCATTGCCGGGACTACGAGGGGAGATGCGGGGCGAGGCACGGTTGGAAGCGGAAACATTGCTGTTGCTGGTGGCGCTGGGGTGGGAGAAGTCTGCTGATGCATCCTCATCCACAGTGGGCAGAGGGAGAGGAGGAGGGATGCCGGATGCGATCAGGGAGTTCCCGAGGTTGGCTGATGCTGCCGCTGAGGAGGAGGCGGTGGAGAGGGCGTGCATCTGGGCGGCGTCCTCGTCTTCTTCTGCGAGTGCCAGCTGGATTTCTTCGAGCTGCCGGACGACTTGTGACATGGTGGGGCGATTGCGCGCCTGGGGGGAGAAGACGGGGGAAGGGGCAGGGGGGAAGAAGAGGTGTACGGGAAGTGGGATGGGGTAAGGCATGGAAACTGGAAAGGGTGGAGGACAGAACCAGGAGATCAGAATGACAAAGGAAATCTTCTTTGCGCAAGGCAGGCTGGACATTTCCCTTTGCGACACGTCTCTCCAGGAGCCAAGATGAATACCCTTATTGGCCCACCTGCATCTCGAGGCAAGCGAGAGCCAGCTCCCCCACGGCCTGCATGGACTGCAGCACCGCCTCTGACGCCTCCTGCAGCTCCCTCGCTGCCACCACGTCCACCCGCCCCGCCTCTATGCGCGGGGACGCCTGCAGTAGAAGCAAAGAAAAGAAACGAGAAGAAAAGAAAAGATAAGGACCAGGTTTTTGACTCGGGTGAAAGGACTTTGCGTGATTATTGCATTTAAATTAAAATAAAAAAGGCGACCAAAATTAAGAAAAAATCTCTTCAACAATCACATATTTCGGGGACAGGAGAGAAATAACGCCCCTGCTGAGACCTGGGTATTACCCAGGACCCACCGCTCAGCTGTGGAAAGGCGATCACTGACCAAGACTCCCATCTGTCATGACCCGCTCCCCCCAAGACTCACTCACCCATTCCACGAGGTTCATGAGCCGGTCCCCATCGTCATCCTCATCATCATCGTCACTGTCCATGTCATGCAGCTGTCTGTCCTCAGCCGCTCCTCCTCCTCCACCGTCGCCACCAGCACTACCACCAGCACCACCAGCAGCAGCGCCGCCACCATCTGACGGCCCAGCTTCACCAGAAGCATCATCGCCACCATCTGACGGCCCAGCTTCACCAGAAGCATCATCGCCACCATCACCAGCAGCAGCACCATCAACAGTGGGGGGGACAGCCGGGGCGCGCGGCTCCATCCAGATGGGGACCTTGCCGGAGATGAGTTCGAGCAGGATGACCCCGAAGCTGTACACGTCGCTCTTCTCCGTCAGCTGCTGCTTCGTGTAGTAGTTCGGGTCCAGGTAGCCTGGGGGGGGGGGGAGCGGCGAGAGGAGGGTAGATTGGGGGGGAGGGACAGTTAATTCTTGTCTGAATCAACGAACGGCATGGGAGAGTGCCTTTCTCCGTCAGCTGCTGCTTCGTGTAGTAGTTGGGATCCAGGTAGCCTGGAGTGTGTGGGGGGGGAGGGGGGGGGAGCAGATGGAGGGAGAAGGGAGGAGAAGGGAGGAGAAGGGAGGAGAAGGGAGGAGAAGGGAGGAGAAGGGAGGAGAAGGGAGGAGAAGGGAGGAGAAGGGAGGAGAAGGGAGGAGAAGGGAGGAGAAGGGAGGAGAAGGGAGGAGAGGAGGAAGGGAGGAGAAGGGAGGAGAAGGGAGGAGAAGGGAGGAGAAGGGAGGAGAAGAGGAGAAGGGAGGAGAAGGGAGGAGAAGGGAGGAGAAGGGAGGAGAAGGGAGGAGAAGGGAGGAGAAGGGAGGAGAAGGGAGGAGAAGGGAGGAGAAGGGAGAAGGGGAAGGAGAAGGGAGGAGAAGGGAGGAGAAGGGAGGAGAAGGGAGGAGAGGGAGGAGAAGGGAGGAGAAGGGAGGAGAAGGGAGGAGAAGGGAGGAGAAGGGAGGAGAAGAGGAGAAGGGAGGAGAAGGGAGGAGAAGGGAGGAGAAGGGAGGAGAAGGGAGGAGAAGGGAGGAGAAGGGAGGAGAAGGGAGGAGAAGGGAGGAGGAGAAGGGAGGAGAAGAAGGAGGAGAAGGGAGGAGAAGGGAGGAGAAGGGAGGAGAAGGAGGAGAAGGGAGGAGAAGGGAGGAGAAGGGAGGAGAAGGGAGGAGAAGGGAGGAGAAGGGAGGAGAAGGGAGGAGAAGGAGGAGAAGGGAGGAGAAGGGAGGAGAAGGGAGGAGAAAGGGAGGAGAAGGGAGGAGAAGGGAGGAGAAGGGAGGAGAAGGGAGGAGAAGGGAGGAGAAGGGAGGAGAAGGGAGGAGAAGGGAGGAGAAGGGAGGAGAAGGGAGGAGAAGGGAGGAGAAGGGAGGAGAAGGGAGGAGAAGGGAGGAGAAGGGAGGAGGAGAAGGGAGGAGAAGGGAGGAGAAGGAGGAAGGGAGGAGAAGGGAGGAGAAGGGAGGAGAGGAGAAGGGAGGAGAAGGGAGGAGAAGGGAGGAGAAGGGAGGAGAAGGGAGGAGAAGAAGGGAGGAGAAGGGAGGAGAAGGGAGGAGAAGGGAGGAGAAGGGAGGAGAAGGGAGGAGAAGGGAGGAGAAGGGAGGAGAAGGAGGAGAAGGGAGGAGAAGGGAGGAGAAGAAGGGAGGAGAAGGGAGGAGAAGGGAGGAGAAGGGAGGAGAAGGGAGGAGAAGGGAGGAGAAGGGAGGAGAAGGGAGGAGAAGGGAGGAGAAGGGAGGAGAAGAAGGGAGGAGAAGGGAGGAGAAGGGAGGAGAAGGGAGGAGAAGGGAGGAGAAGGGAGGAGAAGGGAGGAGAAGGGAGGAGAGAGGGAGGAGAAGGGAGGAGAAGGGAGGAGAAGGGAGGAGAAGGGAGGAGAAGGGAGGAGAAGGGAGGAGAAGGGAGGAGAAGGGAGGAGAAGGAGGAGAAGGGAGGAGAAGGGGGAGAAGGGAGGAGAAGGGAGGAGAAGGGAGGAGAAGGGAGGAGAAGGGAGGAGAAGGGAGGAGAGGGAGGAGAAGGGAGGAGAAGGGAGGAGAAGGGAGGAGAAGGGAGGAGAAGGGAGGAGGGAGGAGAAGGGGGACAAGAGAGTTTAGTGCTGCAAGGAGCAAGAAAGGAGATTTTCTCTCCCCCCGTCAGCTGCTGCCTCGTGTAGGATTACGAGTTGGCAGATTTGCAGGATTACGAGGGAATCCCAACCAGATAGGGTTGGGATTACAAACTACACCCAACCCGCAAATAACCTACGCGATATAGAATATAGTACACAAAGTGTTGACAGCCTAATTCTAACAAACATGAAGGAAGGAGGAAGTTGTCGTCTAGTGAAGAGAAACTGATGCATAGCGCAGCGTGCAACAAAGCAAGATAACTTTGATGCACGCATGATGTGTTGCAATGCTTGTTGCTCTCCTTTCAGTAGAGCACACTTGCTTTGACAGCCAAAATAGTAAAAAAAAAAAAAAGAAACAGGAGAAAATGACAGCGCACTATCATACTTTCGTGCGCGGCATACACTATTGCTTTCGTTCAGTGCCTGCTCTCCCTGGCATTTGTGGTGCGCTGACCAGAGTTGAATAGCGCGGACTCACTAACGCAGGCGACCCTAACGGGGACTCACACATCCATCCGTTGACTTGCGTTGACCTGCGTTGACTCACCCATGGTGCCCTTGACGTTGGTGCTGATGAGGTCCAGGTGAGTGCCGCTGACAGCCTGCTGTGCCAGGCGCGACAGCCCAAAGTCCGCCACCTTGGCGTTCATCTGGTAGTCCAGCAGAATGTTGGTCGTCTTGATGTCGCTGGGGGGAGGGAGAGAGGGCGGTTGAGGAGGAGAGAAAAAAAGTGTATTGGAATGAGAAAGGTCACCTGCTACCAAGTCCGCCACCTTGGCGTTCATCTGATAGTCCAGCAGGATGTTGGTCGTCTTGATGTCGCTGGGAGGGGAGGGGAGGGCAGTGGGGATTGGGCGGGGAGAACAGATGGGATACATGGGAAGAGGAATCGTGGCTCGCACCAAAGTCCGCCACCTTGGCGCACATCCGGTAGTCCAGCAGAATGTTGGTCGTCTTGATGTCGCTGTTGGTGGTGGGAAAGAGGAAGAGCGTTTAAGAGTGGGGGGAGAGGGAAGAGAGGGTTCATATGGGTGCATGGGGGTGGTTAAGTGAGACGTTCAGAGGAGTAATCTTGAAGAGGGAGGGGGGAGTCTAGTCCAGACAAGAAGATCAACGAGCAAATGACAACTGGCAGATCAACAGGCGAGAGTTTCAGAGGACCAACCGGTGGATGACAGGTGGCAGGGCGCCGCGATGCAGGTACTCGATTCCTCTGGCTGCTCCCAAGGCCACCCTGAGGCGAAGGTTCCAGGTCATTTCCCGAGCCTTGTCAGCATCTGCGAGGGACAGCAGCAGGGGATAAAGGCGAGTGCAAGGATGAGGCCCTGTTTACACACGAGGCGCTGGTCGACCTCTTTCCAATGCCACCCCTCAAGCCACGGCGGGTGCTGCCAGTGGTGCTGCCAGCCAGTGGTGCTACCAGTGGTGCTATCAGTCGTGCTGCCAGTGGTGCTGCCAGTGGTGCTGCCAGTGGTGCTGCCAGTGGTGCTGCCAGCCAGTGGTGCTGCCAGCCAGTGGTGCTGCCAGTGGTGCTGCCAGTGGTGCTGCCAGCCAGTGGTGCTGCCAGTGGTGCTGCCAGTGGTGGTGCCAGTGGTGGTGCCAGTGGTGGTGCCAGTGGTGGTGCCAGTGGTACGGCGACACACATCTTCTCACTCACTCACCATGCAGTGCCCCTCTCAGCGTCCCATTGGCCATGCATTCATTGACGAGCATGTCATCCTCCTCACAGACGCCGATGAGCGACACGAGGTGGCGGGTGGTGCAGGCGCGTGGTGCTGACAGTGCTGACAGTGGTGCCAGTGGTGCCAGTGGTGCCAGTTCTGCCAGTGCTGACAGTGCTGCTGACTGACAGTGGTGCTGCAGAAGCCCTCGCACTCACCACGCATTCACACTCACCATGCAGCGCATGTCTGAGGGTCCCGTTGGGCACGTTTTCATAGACGAGCATGAGGCGCTGGTCGTCCTCCTCACAGAAGCCGATGAGCGAAACTAGGTGGCGGTGGTGCTAACAGTGGTGCTGCCATCGTTGACAAGTGATGCATTCACATGCGTCCTCTCCCACTCACCATGCAGCGCATGCCTGAGCGTCCCGTTGGGCACGTATTCGTAGACGAGCATGAGGCGCTGGTCGTCCTCCGGTGCTGATAATGGTGCTACAGACACACACCCTTGCACTCTCAACGCATGCACACTCACCATGCAGAGCATGCCTGAGGGTCCCGTTGGGCACGTATTCATAGACGAGCATGAGGCGCTGGTCGTCCTCCTCACAGAAGCCGATGAGCGAGACGAGGTGGCGGTGGTGGTGGTGCAGGCGCGTGAGCAGCTCGACCTCGGTCACGAACTCCTTCTCGCCCTGGTCCGACCCCACGTCCAGCCGCTTCACCGCCACCATGTGCCCGCTCTCCAACTGGCCCCGGAACACCTGGCTTGCAACGGCAAGCAGGGTGGTGGGAGGAAAGAGAGGGATGGGTGTGGAGGAAAGAGGTGGAGAGAGAGAGCAGGAGGGGCGGGTGAACAAGGATCAGATTCACTAATATCACTGTCTCCTTTTCACATGTTATATAATCACCACCATTTGCCCATCCTCGAGCTGTCTGCAGCACCCATAGCTGCACATCAAGGAGGAGGACACTGGTGGACGCACGCCATACAGGAGTCACTTGTGAGATTTCTGAAAGCTGATTCTCAGAAGAGAACTCTAAAAAGTGACACCCATAGCTGAACATGAGGAAGGAGGACCTAGCTATGGGTGTCACTTCTAAGAAGGAGGACACTGTATGGACGCAGGAGAGCTGCCCTATATGGCAGGAGACGCCATACAGGAGAGCGGAGGGGCATGTCGAATGGGAGAAGGGGAACTGACCTGTCCGAAGCCTCCCTTGCCGATGACATTAGCAGGTGCAAAGTCGTTAGTTGCCTCTCTCATCTCCTCCCACGTGAAGCAGTGCGCCCCAAACGCGGATATCGCCATGCTCCCTGCACCGCCACCGCCCCCACCGCCCCCTCCGCTGTTTCCGTTCATGCCCCCGCCGAAGCTGCTGCCCATGTACGACACCGAGCCTGTGGCGTTGGCTCGGCGGTTAAAGCGGCTGTTGGGTCGGGCGCCGAGGAGTTTCTCCTTTTCGGCTTCAGCTGCTGCAGCTGCTGCTCTGCGCGCATAGAGCCATCTCAAGCCTATCAGCACTGCCAGGGCGACAGCCAACACCATGACTGCTGACACCACTCCCAGCAAGATGCCCTGGGAAGGTAGCGGGCAGACAGAGTGCAGAGGAGGGGTCCATTTATGAGGCCTTAAAAAAATGCTGCTGCTCTGCGTGCATTGAGCCATCTCAAGCCTAGCAGCACTGATAGGGCGACAGCCAACACCATGACTGCTGACACCACTCCCAGCAGGATACCCTGGGGAGGGAGGGGACGGACAGAGAACAGAGGAGGGGTGGGAGGAGATGAGGTTGAAAGGAACGACAGGGAAAGGAGTGGGTGGGGGCGGAGGGTAAAGGGAGAACGGAGAAAGGTTGTTCTTTAATATTATGAATTTGGATCCGATTTGGATAATGTCTATACATCCAACGCTTCAAAAAAGAAATTACAAGTGCAAGTCGCACCTGAACAATGACCCAGAAACCATACCTCTTCAAATATCCCTCAACAAATTACACGCATCCTGAAACATTCCATCAACCTTGCACATCCCAACCTGTCTGCACCGCTCTGCACCACAATGCACCGCATTGCATCGTACCCGCCAGACGGACTGCACGACCAAAGTTTCATCGGGCTGCTGCTGTGCAGCCTGCACCGTGGCCTTGAACGCCTCCTCCCGCCCCTCCTCCCCCTGCAGCACCTGAAACACCTCCACTGAATTCACAAACGCGTCCCTGTTGGAAGGAGAAGAGGGCGGATTGGTACGGAGGACACAGGGGAGGAGCGAAGGATAGAGTTGACTGCCAAGCCATCCTCCCGCCCCTCCTGCCACTGCAGCACGTGAAACGCCTCCACTGAACTCACAAACGCGTCCCTGGGTGGGTGGGGAGAGAAGTTGGTGCGAGGATAGGGTCGAGGAGGCAGAGGAAAGGTTTGAACTCACAAACGCGTCCCTGCCACTGCAACACGTGAAACACTTTCACGGCATTCACAAACGCACCCCTGGTCAGCGAGTGTGAGGAGTGGAGGGGATATACGGAGGGCGTTACAGGAGCGGGGAACGTACGGGGGAGAAACGGAAGGAGAGGTGTGGTTTCATATAGACTGCAACAAGTTAAACACCTTCCCATTTGACAGAAGCGACCCTAAGAGGGGGCTGGAGAGATTGGTGGAGAAAGGTTGGTGGGGAGAAGATAGAGGGGAGGAGGAGAGGGTGGGCAGATTGATCTCAATTCGAAGCCCCCCTCATGCTCCTCAAAACAGGGAATAACAAGTTACAGGACAACGGGGACTTGGTTAGAACAGGGACTAGAGTAGTCATTGTTTGTAATCCTATGCCACTGACAGAGACTTCGGCGAAATGCGTAAGCCACTAGGGTCTTTACTAAATAGGACTTATTAAATCTCACATTTACGCGTTTCCTACTCTACACAAATAACCCACCCGTATACTTTTAGCTAAAAGTCCAGAGAGGCGGGCAGCAAGGCAGTAAGAGGAGGGCAGCATAGTTACCATGTGAAGCCGGTGAAATTGGCATTGGCGATCTCAATAGTGAGGAAACCAGAGGCGTTGCTGGTGACTGGCAGGTGGGCAGTGGGGCAAGGGGTTACAAGGAGTGACAGAGGGGATAGCAGGCAAAGGAAGAGAATCGATTAGGGTTGAGACGTGGTGGCTGAGACGTGGTGGCTGAGACGTGGTGGCTGGTGGAGGGAACATATCAAAAGGCTTCACAGCAACAAGCACTCTTCTGAGTCGACTCAAAGGAAAAGGCTAAAGCCCACCGTGAAGATCCTTGGCAATGTAGGTGGCTGGTGGAACGAACGAGTCAAAGGGCTTCACAGCCAATTGGCCGTCCACAAACACTTGCAGGAAACGAGCTCCCTGATGTGATGTGATGTGATGTGCCATGTGATGCCACGCCACACCACGGCATGCCACGTCATGCCATACCATACCATGCCATTCATGCCACGGCATGCCACGCCATGCCGTACCATACCATACCATGCCATGCCATGCCATGCCATGCCATGCCATGCCATGCCATGCCATGCCATGCCATGCCATGCCATGCCATGCCATGCCATGCCATGCCATGCCATGCCATGCCATGCCATGCCATACCATACCAGACTATCCCTTTCCATGTGGTCCCGTGCAATGCCGCACATCCCATGGCATATGTCGCAGCAGATGTCATAGCACATGCCACAGCACATGTCATAGCACATGCGATAGCAGCATAAGTAGCAGCACGTGAGAACCACGCCACAGTAAAGCAGCAATGTCAGATCAGTGCAGGGCAGTGAGCACAGGCAGGTGCATGGTGGGCGTAGAGGATGGAAGGCCGTGGACGGGGACAGTATGCAGATGTTGTTATTAGTAAACATGGCGCTGCATGGCACGGCATGGCGCTGCATGGCACGGAATGGCGTGGCGAGGCATGGCATGGCGAGGCGAGGCATGGCATAGCGTGGCATGGCGTGGCATGGTGTGGCATGGCGTGGCATGGCGTGGCATGGCGTGGCATGGCGTGGCATGGTGTGGCTTGGGGTGGCATGGCGTGGCATGGCGTGGCATGGCGTGGCATGGCGTGGCATGGTGTGGCTTGGGGTGGCATGGCGTGGCATGGGATGGCATGGCGTGGCATGGCGTGGCATGGCGTGGCATGGTGTGGCTTGGGGTGGCATGGCGTGGCATGGCGTGGCATGGCGTGGCATGGTGTGGCTTGGGGTGGCATGGCGTGGCATGGGATGGCATGGCGTGGCATGGCGTGTGGCAGAGCCTAGCATGAAACAAAAGAGCCCGTCTCACCTGAATATCTAAGAGCTCGTCTCACCTGAATATCTAAGAGCCCGTCTCACCTGAATATCCAAGAGCCCGTCTTGGAAGCCGAGGAAGATGGCGAGGGGCGTGGAGGGCGGCACGGGGAACACATACTTCAGCGTGTGCGCCTTGAACTTGGCCAGGGGCTCTGTCTCGTGCCCGTTCACTGTCGTCCTCCAGGTCTGTGGGGGTCATGAGAGAGAGAGGCGTTATGCGGGAGGTTTAAAGCAGAAACAATGGATGGGTGGACTGTTGAGGCGCCTCAGAATCACTGCAGAGTGTGCGCCTTGAACTTGGCCTGGGGCTCCTTCTCGTGCCCGTTGACAGTCGTTCTCCACGTCTGTGGGGGTCACCAGAAACAAGGGTGGAGTGGTTGGTAGCAAGCAACAACAATGCTGGAGTTTTGAGGCGCCTCAAAATAGCGTGTGCGCCTTGAACTTGGCCTGGGGCTCCGTCTCGTTCCGTTCACGGTTGTCCTCCACGTCTGTGGAGTTCACCAGAAAGGCATTATGCGGGAAGTTTAAAGCAGAAGCAATGGATGGGTGGAGTTTTGAAGCGCCTCAGAATCACTGCAGCGTGAGCGCCTTGACCTTCGCCAGGGGCTCTGTCTCGTGCCGGTTCACAAATGTCCTCCATGTCTGCAGGGATCACCAGAAGCGCGATGCAAAAGATGTAACGCCCCAAGAGATGTACTCTCAAGAGATGTAACGCCCAAGGGATGTAACGCCCAAGAGATCAACGCCAAAAGCATGGGCTATTTGAGAGCGACTGGCCATCTGTTTGGATTGCCATTTGGACTATCAAGCGGCGGATGGGAGCCAGAAAAATGAGCAAAACACAAAACACTGCAAGAAAAAGAGAGAGAGTGCGCGAGAGATCAGCATTAAGTCTTAGATGCGCGCATGAAGCATAGGCGTGGATGCAGGGAGCGGGCACTGACTGTGAAGATGGCATCTGGTGGCATGTTGGCGTTGTCTGTAGTCTCCACTGAGAACAACGCGCGGTAGTTCTGTGCGGGTGGGGGAGTGAGGGAGAGGGGGGAGAGAGAGTGAAAGCAGAGGGAGGGAAAGTGCTTCTTGACTGTGAAGAAGATGGCATCTGATGGCATGTTGGCGTTGCCTGCATTCTCCACTGAGAACAACGTGCGGAAGTTCTGTGCGGGTGGGTGGGGGAAAGAGGGATAGACTAGTTTTGAGGGGCGCCTCTAAACAATGGCATCTGGTGGCATGGCAAATTGGCGTTGTCATGTCAGCGAGCAGTAAGGCTGTTAGGAGCGATTGAACAAGTGAGATTGGGCTAGAGATGAAGAGCGTCAGCGAAGGGAGAAATAGAGGGTGAGGTGAGTGAGAGATAGCGGGATACGAGCGAACAGAAGAGAGGACGCAGAGGAGTGTGAGAGTCAAATGGGACCAAGGTCGAAGGAGTGTGAATGGTAGAAACAAGCATGGAGGCAAATGTAGAATATCAGGTGAGATGGAGCCGTCTGCTTTTGAGGCACCTCAAAAGCCATGTCAGGTGAAATGGAGCTGTCTGCATAAAATGATCTTCACAACCGACTAAGGCAGGCAGAGAGGAGGGGACATCACTGGGTGTACTTAGTGCAAGGAGCGACTCGAGGAAGCTTTGTTACTCGATGGTTACATGAAGTAGGCGTGAGGACTATGGAGCGCGAGAGCAGGATGGGATGGAGCAAGGATTGAAGGAGAGCAAGGAGGGTTACGAGGAGTGAGGAGAATTCGGATGAGTGAGGAGGCTTGGTGCAGTGGTGCCGTCCCTGCTCACCATAACGGCGTTGTCCACGATCATTGTGTTGGCCGGCGAAGGAAGGAGCTGACTTTTGAGTCGACTCACTTCTAGGGGCGCCTAGAAACTAGACTCACAAGCCAGCTCGTGCCGTTTCCGTCCCTGCTCACCATAACGGCGTTGTCCACGATCATTGTGTTGGCCGGCGACGGGGCAGCAAGGTACGGCGTGTCAGGCAGCCACGAGCGGCCAATGGCGTCCAGGAAGAACGTGCTGGGCGGCAACCCCGCCCCGATGTGGTAGAGGGACGCTGCATGGGAAACAAGGGGGGGCGGAATGGTCTAACTTGATCGACCAAGCACAATCATACATCATAGAATTGGGAGGCAATCCCGCCCCGATGCGGTAGAGAGAAGCTGGATGGTGAAAAAGGTGGGGGGGGCGGGGGGAGGAAACGGTCTAACTTGATCGACCACGCACAGACATGCACCACAGAATTGGGCGGCAATCCCGCCCCGATGTGGTAGAGCGACGCTGGATGGATGGCGGCGTGCGGTGTAGGTGTGGGGGGGGAAGATAGAGTGAAGGGGATGCTAAAAAATAGGGGGAGGGGGGGGGAGAGGATACTTATGGAAGCTGGTTTTATTGCATCTAGCCAGCTAGTGTTTCTTTTCCTTTGATGTGCTCCCCAGCTACTAATGTAGCTTCCTAAGTATGTGGTCGATGTACCAAACATAACATGTGTGAGTGTGAGTGCAAGCCAGCCTCGATGCACTCATCAGTGGAGTGCTATGGTCGCGGTGGCCAGCACGTGAGAGTGTGAAAGCGTAGCATATGCAAGGCCTGAGCAGCACAGCACCGGCACACATACCAAGCACAGCGGTGCTGTTCGGTGCGGTGAGGGTGTACATTCCCGGTGGACACTGGAGCACCTGGAGGAGACATGCAGAAGGAAGGGCGCGTTTGGGAATTGAGAGTTGAGAGGGAAGGGGAGAACGACACGGGAGGAGAGAGGATGAGAGGTGAAGGCGATGGGGAGATGGAGAGGTGAAGAGTAGGAGGAGGAGAGTGGAGGCAGCATGGAAGGGTATCGTCTTACAGAGATGGCGGAGATGATGGGGTCACCGATATCCCCCCAGGTGAAGAACACATCCACTGAACCGACCGCCTTTTGAGGCACCTCTAACATAAAATCATCATACCAAAAGCCGCATCATCACGCCAACAGCAGCAGCAACAGGGGGATGACCTTACAGAGATGGCGGAGATGATGGGATAGCCAATATCCGCCGAGGTGAAGAACACGCCCACAGAACCGACCATCTTTTGATGGCACCTCTAATCAAACATAATTCCACCAACCCAAGCAGCAATGTTCCAGAATTGACATGATCTTACAGAGATGGCGAAGATGATGGGGCCGCCAATGTCCCCCGACGTGAAAAACACGTCCACAGAGCCGTGTGCCTTTTGAGGCAGGGCCTCAAGATTCAACACACCAACAGTGGCATGTCACTCACGGAGATGGCAGAGATGATGGGGTCGCCAATGTCCCCCGAATTAAACACGTCCACAGAGCCGTCTGTCACCGGCACATACACCTCCACCACCAGCAGCACCAGCACCAGCACCAACAACAGCAGCAGCACCAGCACCAACAACAGCAGCAGCACCAGCACCAACAACAGCAGCAGCATCAAGCATCCTGACACAGACACTCACAGAAATAGCGGAGATGATGGGGTCGCCAATGTCCCCCGAGGTGAAGAACACGTCCACAGAGCCATCAGTCACCGGCACATACACCTCCACCACATGAGCCCTCACCACATCGCCCTCCCACTCGTTGCTGCTGCTGCTGCTACTGGTGCTGGTGCTGTTGCCGGTGCTGGTGCTGTTGCTGGTGCTGGTGCTGTTGCTGCTGGTGCTGGTGCTGTTGCTGCTGGTGGTGCTGTTGCTGCTGGTAGTGGTGCTTTTGCTGTTGGTGATGGTGCTGTTGGCGCTGCTGTTGGTGCCGTTGGCGATGCTGCTGGCGCCTCTTTTGTTGCGGCTCTTGTTGGTACTCTTGGTGCTGACATTGGCGCCGGTATTGGCGATGGTGTTGATGCCATTTCCGGCAGCAGAAGCACTGCTGCTGCTGGCGATGCTCACAAAGTCACTGTTGGTGACCGTCGAAATAACCCTGCTCGCACTGTTACCACCAACACCCCGCCCAGCACCATCACCACCAGCAGCACCACCACCAGCAGCACCACCACCAGCAGCACCACCAGCAGCAGCACCACCAGCAGCAGCAGCAGCAGCAGCTGCACGGGTGCGATCCACAGTAGGAAACCGCTGCCCAATAACAAACGCAGGCAGCACCTCAGTGCCCTCCACGCTCACATTGAACCGCCTTGCCCCCGGCACTCTGTTCACCAGCTCTGCAAAGTACAGCCGCACCACATAATAGGCAGGTTCAGGCACGGGCAGGGAGTACCAGAGAGTGAGCCCGTCCCGCGCGTTGAAGGCCCTGGCGGACTCGAATATGGGCGCCAGGAGGGCTAGAGAGGGGTCGGAGAAGGTGAGGAGGGTTTTGGCTTCGGTTGAGGGAGGTGTGATTGGGATGGAGGCATTGGGTGGATTGATATTGGTCTTGTTCTGGAAGAAGAGGGGCGGGAAATTTGCGAAAAAATTGGCAGTGTTGTTGGCAGAGCTGTTGGCAGTGGTGTTGGCAGTGCTGTTGGCAGTGCTGATGGCAGTGCTGTTGGCAGTGCTGTTGGCAGTGCTGTTGGCAGTGCTGTTGGCAGTGTTGTTGGCAGTGCTGTTGGCAGTGCTAGTAACAGAGATCACCTCAACAAACGAGCTGTTGATCATTCCCGTGGTACCAATCCCTGCTGCACTACTCCCGTTCCCTCGCGCTCCTGCAATGCCTGCCAACGGCGGTATGCCAAACAGGGGCATTGAGCTGCTGCTGCTGCTGCTGCTGCTGTTGCCACTGCTGCTGTTGCTGCTGCTACCAGCGGCAGGAGTGATAGTGAAGGGCGCGCCGAGGGTCATGAGAGGGGCATCGGAGGTCCAAGTGACGGCGGTGGTGTCAGCAAACCAGAGGGTTGTCACATTGGGGCCTCCGCAGTTGATGAACAGTCCGGCTGCAAGGTTCGATGGGGGTGAGAGGGAGAGGAGAGGGAGAGGGAGAGGGAACAAAGGGGTTGCGTAGAATGAGGTTTCTGAAGCTGCGAACCAGAGGGTTGTCACGTTGGGGCCTCCGCAGTTGATGAACAGTCCGGCTGCAAGACGTGATGGGGATGAGAGGAGAAGAAGGGAAGAGGGAGGGGAAGGGGAGAGGGAGAGGAGGGCTCATGTGTGAATGAGGTGTTTCGAAATGCGAACCAGGGTTGCCAGGTTCAGGGCTCTGCAGTTGAAGAGCGCTTTGGCTGAGGGATTGATGAGAACGTGGGGAGGAGGAGAGGGAGGAAAGGGTGAGTAGGAGAGAGAAGACAAAACAGGGGAGAAGATTGAGGGGAGAGGGAGACGGGAGAGGGCAGCGGATTCGAGCCAAGAACGAGAGGGGGGATGTGAAGAGCAACGAGGAGAATTCTAGGATATATGAGGAGAGGGTAAGAACGAGAGGAGAGGAAAGGGACGAATCGAGAGCAGAAAAGAGAGAGAAAGGCGGAGAGGAGGAGGGGCGAGAGAGGGGAGGGGCGAGAGAGGGGAGGGGACGAGAGAGGCAGAGGGAAAGATGGGCTGGAAAAGCGGATGCTCTTGCAAGCATGAATTGCACCTGAATCCGCACATCCAAGACCGGACGTTTTATGGTTGACTATAAACAGACGCAGATGGAGTGGTGCATCAGCGAGTTTATCCATCCCAGCTCCCGAGGAGAAACCCGGCCTGGGGTTGGTTCAACTCAGAAATGAATGGATCTATTGCAAGAAAGGCTTGGAAGTGAATGCGGAGGTTCACCTTGCAGGTTGGCGAGCCAATCGCTGTTCTCTGTCGTCCTGGTCTTGGTGAAAGTAGGACTCACAACGCGCCCTTCCGCCAACTCCCACACCACCCCTCCAAGCCCTCCCTCTCCACTGCTGCTGCTGTTGCTGCTGCTGCTGCTGTTGCTGGTGTTTGCGCCGTTTGCTCGACCGTGAAACGCAGCAAGCGCCAGAAGAGTAGTAACCAGCACAAAAGTTGGAATCGAGTTGCTTGTTCTGTTGCGCCTAGAGGCGCGAATAGCATGCATTTGAAGAAGGGATGCAGGACCCATGGAAATCATTGGCTGGTCAGCAGGGACGAGGAAACTCTTACAACTCCTTAAACACTTGAAGCTCGCTCTATTCAAAGCTGTGCTCGTGGCACAAAGCTTATTGCTACGTGCCTGCGGGTGGTAAGCCGTCTCAAGCTTCTGAAGAGTGCACACAATTCAAATTGATGCCTGTGTGCGGGTGGCCTACACGAGCCTCCTGTATCCCTTTGAAGCTATGGAGTCGTGAAGTGGTATGCTGACCAAAGAGTTCCTAACCCTTTGGCGCTTTTATTCACTCTCGTGAACGCTACTAGAGCTTGTAGTCTGACTGGTCCGCGCTCGCATGGAAGGCGGATATCGGAGATTGCTGCTTCGGAAAACAACTAAAGACAAGGCTATGTTAGATCTGTCGCCCCTCAAAGAAACCTCCGGCAAATATAACAGGGAGAACTTGCATGAGATATGTCAGGGATGAGGAGCCTGGGAGCTGAGGAGGCGGGGTCTAGGCTAGGATATTAATGATAACTGGAGCGCTGGCAGCTGGCGACTCGTCCAGGGGACTGGTTCGGGCGACAATCACGGATTTTGAGATGTCACAGCCCGCGCTCTAGCGAGGGTATGTACAGTTGATAAACCATTGCAAACGGGCCTGTTGAAACGGCTACGAATACGCCGAGGAGCAGCCTAGTGACGCTTGAAGGTCACGGCGGAAGAGAGCGGCGGGCAGAAGGCAGCGAAATCGAGAGCGCGGCTTGAAATTGGACCAAGGAGGCCAAGACTCTGGAGAGCAGTGAAGCTGCGAGGCGCCAAGAGCGCGTCTCCCTACCCATGGCAGTTGCATCTCAGACATTTACCTCACGGGAAAGAGTGCAACGGAATTAGCAACCGCTTCTGCTGAGCGATGGAGGTCATGGAGCAGGGTGGCAGTATTCGCATCACTAACCCGCGCTGCCTCGCTCGTTCATACTTCTCCATGACAAAGCTGGAGGTTGCTGCATTCAAGCAGGGTGTGGTGGAGCACCGAACCGAACTGCTGCTGCCCAGAAGACGCTGGTTCACCTTCCATATTTGATCCTGAGGACGCGTCACAAGTAGAACATCGATCCTGCCTAGAATCGGTGTTTAGGTGGTTACACATTTTCGTTTATTTTCGTTAACGTACAGTTTTCCCTTCTAAGTCAGGCGATCGATGTGCCCCTGTCACACATCGATCGTGCAATTTCGTCCACATCGGGCAATTTTGCCCCATGTTTTTACGATCGTGTCACTTGAAACTTCAAAGCAGTCGTGACACACCGATATGGCGATCGGTTTGACAGGTTCGGTGAACAACCCTGATCCTTCCTCGATATTTTACTTGTGACGCGTCCTGAGCTGTGGTGGGGTGTGCAGGATCACCGCTGCGACCACTTGCCGCTTCATCTTCCATGTCTCATTCGTTATGGTTTGCTTCAGGAAGTTTTTAAGTAAAACTGTACTAAGATTTACTAAACATCTGAAACCTCTTATCTATTGTGCCTCCTCTACTTGTTACAATAATAGGTACCACTAAATTAAACTGCTAGTGCAGCCTTCAAACCAAATAATGATACCACCTGCTAGAGTGAGGAACTTTGGATAGGATAGGAAGTGCACTGAGAGAATTGGTAGCGGAAGTCTTGGTAGGAACCCTTGATCATAGTGAATGTAAATGAAAAGGTTGATTGATTGATAGAATACAAGCAAGATAAATAGTCCTAACTAGCCATGTACTCTAAGGGGTACATTCCCTTATTATAACTGTTTTACAGGCAGTACAACAGTGACTATGACTATTAGATTTCCTTTCTTGTTACCGAGTCGCTGCTTGTAACCGTGCGTACGGTTACGCCTGTTGCCATTCCTCGATAGTAGGTCAATCGTCGGTCCAGATAGTCAACAGTCGCGACAGTTGACTCTTGCGACTGTTGACTTTCCTGCCTTGATATAGGCTGATCCGACATCTGCTGTTCGCGCTGCTTCGATGGTGGCAGGTGCGATGTTGCTGCACCTTCGGGAATGCTTACGATTCCCTTCATACTCCAACACCACCAGTCGCGCGTCAGACTCTCAGATATCAGGGTTTGTTCCCTGAAATTCCTGATTTTTCAGCATACTTTATTGTTTTTTTGGGTTGCGAAGCAACCTATTACGATCGATTTGGCCAGATTTTTTTTCACATTTTTACATTTTATTTATTTAAAATGTGAAAATGTGAAAAAAAAAGAAAGCTGGATGTACTAATTGCTATGTACGTAACATGTACAAGGTCCTGTCTGGTTCAATTATACTACTATAATGGTAGTGTTAAATTGTAATGTGTTATATGTTGGTAGGCTGTAGTGGGGTAGCTGATATGGGGTACAACCCCAACTAGGGTTTGCTACTTGTACCCAATTCTTCCATTCAATGCATCATTCTTGCCTAGTTCTCTTAACATGGTATTCAGAGCAGGAGGTCCCTAGGACCTACCGACCGTTTTTTTTTTAAGGGCCCACCACCGCTCGCATGCGGTTACCACGCTACCCCGTGCCCTAGCCTCGTAGCGCCCTCGTGCGCCCTCGTTAGCGCCCTCGCGCGCCCTCGTTAGCGCCCTCGCGCGCCCTCGTTAGCGCCCTCGCGCGCCTCTCGTTAGCGCCCTCGCGCGCCCTCGCTAGCGCCCTCGCGCGCCCCTCGCAGCGTCGCCCGCCCGCCCGCTGCCCGCTTGCAGCGTCGCCCGCCCGCCCGCTGCCCGCTTCGCAGCGTCGCCCGCCCGCCGCGCTGCCCGCTCGCAGCGTCGCCCGCCCGCCTCGCTGCCCGCTTGCAGCGTCGCCCGCCCGCCCGCTGCCCGCTTCGCGGCCCGCCCGCCCGCTCGCTGCCCGCTCGCAGCGTCGCCCGCCCGCCTCGCTGCCCGCTTGCAGCGTCGCCCGCCCGCCCGCTGCCCGCTTGCAGCGTCGCCCGCCCGCCCGCTGCCCGCTTCGCAGCCCGCCCGCCGCGCTGCCCGCTCGCCGCGTCGCCCGCCCGCCCGCTGCCCGCTTCGCAGCCCGCCCGCCGCGCTGCCCGCTCGCCGCGTCGCCCGCCCGCCCCGCTGCCCGCTTCGCAGCCCGCCCGCCGCACTTCCCGCCTGCAGCGCCGCCTGCCCGCCGCGCTGCCCGCTTCGTAGCCCGCCCCCCGCACTGCCCGCTCGCCGAGTCGCCCGCCCGCCGCGCTTCCCGCCGAGCTACCTACCTGCAGCGCTGCGGCAGCTTCCCTGCTCAGTTGCACTGTCCCTATGGCTTCCATCCGCGTGCTGTCGTTCGATGCTGAGGGCCGCCCTGTGAAGTTCGCCACTTGGCTGGATGACCTGCAGCTGTTCCTTCTGAGCGATAGCAAGGAGCATGTGTCGCTCTATGATTACGCGTCTGGTGCTGCACCTGCCCCTCCTGCCACAGCTGAGCTTAGTGTTCGTTCCCACTGGCAGACTCGTGACGCAGCTGCTCGCCTAGCCATTCGCAGTCACCTCCCGCTAGCTGAGCTAGAGCATTTTGGCGACTGCAAATCCGCTAAGGCCCTGTACGATGCTGTCGTTGCTCGCTACTCCTCGCCTGCCACAGCCGAGCTTAGCCGCCTCATGCTGCCGTACCTGTTCCCTGATCTGTCCGCCTTTGCTACAGTCGCCGATCTTATCACCCACCTTCGCACTAGTGATGCTCGCCTGCGTGCTGCCCTTCCCACCGAGTTCTGTGCTAAGAACCCCCCTCCACTGTACTGGACACTCCACTTCATAGTCACCCGACTCCCTGACACCCTCAGCTCAGTTCGAGACCACTTCCTTGCTCGCTGTCCCACTGAGCTCACAGTCGCCCTCCTAGAGGAGCAGCTGCTAGCGGCCGAAAAGAGCATTGTAGCTGTCGGTGCTGCTCGTGGCGCTCCTCGCACCCCCATCTTTGAGGGGTGTTCTCCCTCTCCCCTCGCTCCCTCCTACGCTACTGCTGCTGCTGTTGACTTCCTTGGTGCTGAGTCTGCTGGCGCTGCTTCTGCTCCTGGTGGGAGGCGCCGCACCGGCAAGGGCAAGGGGGGCAAGGGTGGCGGGGGTGGCGCTGGGGGGGGAGGAGGTGGGGGAGGTGGGGGGGGAGGCGGTGCTGGAGGGAGCGGTGGCGGGAGTGCTGGTGGGAGTGGGGTCGGCAGCGGAGGCGGGGGCGGCGGAGGGAGCGGTGGCGGTGGTGGCGGCGGCGGCGGTGGCGGCGGCGGCGGCGGCGGTCGGAGCGGAGGTAGTGGTGGTGGCGGAGGTCGGAGTGGAGGCACTGGCTCGGGCCAGAGCTCCCAGCAGCAGCAGCGTCCCCAGACGACCCAGCAGCTTCGTGAGTGGCTTGCTCAGCGTGGGACGTCGGGGGGCAATGGCCGCTGTTCCTATGTCATTCGCACAGGTGACCGCAAGGGACAGACGTGTGGGAGGTTCCACACCCCGTACCGCTGCTTCTCCCGCCTTGACGACGCTTGGCGTGAGGAGATGGGCGAGGATGTTGAGCGTCCCCGCTGGGCTGAGCTCATGAGGGCTGGTGTTGATATCTTTGCTCTTGACTATGATGCTATTATTGCTGCCATGTATGCATTGACTGTTAGTGCCGAGGGAGACTGTTACTTGTGTGTGCCGCCTGACCCAGGTATAGAGCCCGCTGCCCTGGGTACTAGTGAGTCTGCTCTCTCTGGTATGGTGCCCCCTGTACTTGCTCCCTCCAGTGCTGTCCCGGCTGTTTGCGAGTCTGCTCTCTCAGGTACAGCACCCACAGAGACTGCTCTCTCAGGTACCGCACCGGCTGAGGCCTGTCACACCTTCACCCTTGACTCAGGTGCTTCCCGCTGTTTCTTTCGTGACAGTACTGAGCTCACACCGCTTCCTGCACCGGTCCCAGTCTCCTTGGCTGACCCCTCTGGGGGCCCAGTCCTTGCCCAGTCCACCACTGTGCTCCCTTGTCCGGCAGTTCCGTCTGGCTCGTTGTCGGGTTTCCACCTCCCCTCGT